CGTGGTGATGTGAGGAATAAGCAGAAACCCCAAATACCTGGCAAATACTTGCTTCCAGCGAAATAGGCCCCTATAATTCCAGTCGATCTAGCCCTAAGCCCTCAACGTCTGCATCCTCTTGCTGAAGAACTTTCCCCAAACCCTAAAACCTAAACCCTAAATCCCCAAAAGACCTAAACTCCATGGAGGATCTCGACTCTGGCCAAAGTTGCTGTGAAGGACGAAAACATAGTCAGGTTGCCAATCTATCTATCTACCTATCTGCGCACACACACACTCTCTCTCTCTCTATATATATATATATTATATATATGTATATACATATATATATATATATATATGCAAAGAAGGAGCCCGAACCCTAAACTCGAACCTACTCTGGGGGTCCAGGTAAACCCTACAAGTAGCCCTAAACCCTAAACCCTAAACCCTAAACCCTACAAGTAGGCCTGTGGCCCGTGATCCCGAAGAGGGCGGACGTCGCGGGCCGACTCGGCGATCATCATCGCACGGACGACATCGCTGGGGTCGATTCAAAAGGCGACAGCATTTAGGGCTTTAGGGTTTAGGGATTAGGGTTTTAGGGTTTAGGGTTTTAGGATTTTAGGGTTTTAGGGTTTAGGGTTTTAGGGTTTTGGGGTATCGGGGTTTGATTAGGGCTTAGGAGGTTCGTTTTGGGGTTTAGGGGAAGCGGTAACTCTTGGGTTTGTGGAGGTTTCAAGCTTCTTTTTGCATCTACGTGGGGATATAGGAACATCATAGAGCCCCGCTGTGTTGCTTTGGGGTTTGGGCACTCTTGAGGTTCAGGAGATGTGCTGCAGAAACTTCAACTCGTCGAGCTCCTGGGCCACATTGCAAGATCCCCTAAACCCTAAACCCTAAACCCTAAACCCTAAACCCTAAACCTCTCATGCCTCCAGCCCTCTCTATGGAAAATGAAACAATATCAGCGCAGGTGTATTTACGGCCTATACCTCTCATTATGCACCTTGCCACCTTGTGCGCTCTCTCTCTCTCTCCAATATATATATATATATTATGTGTGTGTATGTATGTATGTATGTATGTATGTATGTATATATATATATATTATGTAGAAACGTGCAGGGAATACTATTCCAAATTATTCCGACCCCAATATTGCATCCCCCCTGTTCTTCATGAAGCGCAGAGGCACAGGGACTAGGCCATGCACTGACTAATTTCAAGCCCTCTAACCCTGACCGCCCCCCAAAGCTGAAACCCCAAACCCCAAACCCCAAACCCTAAACCCTAAACCCTAGCCCTAAACCCTAAACCCTAAACTCTAAACCCTAAACTCTAAACCCTTAACCCACATCATGTGTCGCATGACCCTTGGATGGATCTTGCCGGGTGGCGAGCGCGGCCCATGGAGCAGTGAAGAGGGAACGGGGTTGGGGATGAAATGGTCGTTTAGGGTTTTAAGGTTTAGGGTGTAGGGTTTAAGGTTCAGTGTTTAGGGTTTTGGTTTTCGGGTGTTAGGCTTTTAGGGGCTTAGGGTTTTGGGGTTCTACGGTTTAGGGTTCTTGTGTTTAGGGTCTGGTGTTTAGGCTCAAGATACATGCTCCCCATTCAACCAGCCCGAAAAGCCTCTCGCAGGGGGTGAAAAGGGACATGACCCATCCTGGTGCACTAAACAGGGAGTACGCGTCACTTTTTCCTAACCCTAAACCCTAAACCCTAAACCCTAAACCCTACCTCCTTGCAAAACCCATCTCGGAATAAGTGCACCGCTGGCACTCCTAGTCATGTTGCTGGCTGATTCCTGTGACGAGTAAGGCCATAACTACAACTAGCTGGCTCTTAGCAGGGAACCAGGGAATTAGGTACCCTAAACCCTAAACCCTACACCCTAAACCCTAAACCCAAAACCTAAACCCTAAACCCTAACCCTAAAACTCAACCCTAAACCTTAAGTAACCCTAAATATTGTCCCTAAATTCGTGGGTAGCGATAAGGTAGCGCATTCCCTCTTTCTAACCGGAGCAAGAAAGAGAAGGGTTGAATAAACGCGACTTCCGAAATTCTGGAAGTATCTTCTTGGGGTTCATGCTATACAGGGGACTCTACGGGTCTGTACAACGGGCACACCTTAATTTCGGAAACCGGCCAACAGCCCTAAACCCTGAACCCTGAACCCTAAACCCTAAACCCTAAACCCTAAACCTAAACCCTAAACCCTAAACCCTAAACCCTAAACCCTAAACCCTAAACCCTAAACCCTAAACCCTAAACCCGAACCTGAGCAGAGCCAAAAGACGAAGGCGGCGGGGGTCGAGGGCTGAGGGCTGAACATTTGATCTTAGGGTACTAAACCTGCTATTCAAATTAAGGGTTTGGGGTTAGGTGTACGGTTTAGGGTTTAGGGTTTAGGGTTTAGGGTTTTTAGGGTTTAGGGTTTTTAGGGTTTAGGGTTTAGGAAGTTTAGGGACAACCCCAACCCCCCCCCCCCCCTCCCCGGGCAAACCGACCTCCATGCAAAGAATAAAGTCTGGAGTCTGGACTAAAATGGGGCGCAGTTGCTGGGGGATGATGGTGACTGAAACATTCACGCACCTAACGCGCCACGAGCAGAAAACGTGCCCTGGCGCCTGAACCTGAAGCCAAGAATGCCAAAACCCTCAACCCTAAACCCTAAGCCCTAAACCCTAAACCCCACCCAGCAAACGCGCAGCATTGGCGCTTCCTGTGACGCCCTGAAACCCAAAAGTCCAGCCAACCAGAAGAAATCCGCATGAGAACCATCAAGGTACGCTTTGCCCCGATGTTTGCGGCTTAGGGTTAAAAGCTTCGGTTTAGGGTTTAGGGTTTATGGTTTAGGGTTTAGGGTTTTGGGTTTTGGGTTTAGGGCGTAGGGTTTTGGGTTTAGGGTTTGGGGACCCGAGCCTGGCTTCTGGGAAGACTTGCGGGGCGATTCCTGCGAGGCCGAAGATCGGCCATGAGCAGCTCTCTTAACCCTTGCAAGGTGAGGGTTTAGGGTTTAGGGTTTAGGGTTTAGGGTTTAGGGTTTAGGGTTTAGGGTTTAGGGTTTAGGGTTTAGGGTTTAGGGTTTAGGGTTTAGGGGGCCATGAGCAACTCGAGGATCCTCAGACTCAATGACCAGGCTTCACACTGCTTATGTAGCCCGGTTCATCGTACCCATGAGTCCATGAGGGTTTAGGGTCTAGGGTTGAGGGTTTAGGACGTTTCGACAGACCTTCTATGAGACAGGGCCCAGGAGTAGCCTAGGAAAATTTAAAAGGGTAACCTTTGCGGTTCAAAGTGGCTTGCAAGGGAACCGAAGCCCTAATATAAGGGAATAAGGGCCTGCTCTGGGTCCTAGGAGAGGAGGGCGTGTGCGGTGCACGGTTCCGGCCATACCAGAAGCCCAGAGTATACCGAGCATGAAGGAAAGCTCGACAGCTTTCATCAACACTTTCCCCACCCCATGTATACAGAGCCAGCGAAGCTTAAAACTCAACATCCAGGCGACAACATGCAACAAACACCTCTCTACGACCCTGTGCCTAAAGACCTCGCAGCCCTGAGGCCCTGCAGCCCGAAAGTATGGGACGAGCCATCTCCAACAAAAACCCGAACCCGATATCCCACACGCCTCACGAATCCTTGAGCAGCCCTACACCCCCCGAAAAGCCTCAACTGCAAACAGATGATCTGCCCCTTCCGGTACCCTATAACCCTAAACCCTAAACCCTATACTTTCAAGACATGTTTACTGAAATCAAGAAGAGGACTTATAGATCCATACATCGGCCCCCATAAACACAACAAACAGGTTAGACCGAGTCTCAAGCCTACTGATCTACTCTACGTAGGCCCAGGAGTGACCTGGGAATAAAAGGGTACCCTTTTTGGTTTTAAGGGGATAATCAGGAAGTAGCCCTAAACCCTAAACCCTAAACCCTAGCCCTAAACCCTAAACCCAGTACTAACCCTAAACTACTCCCCGGATAATTTGGGACATCCCACCTTGGCGAAGATCGGCCAAGGGATGTCTTCGGCAGAGGGCTCCATGAGCATCCCGACCTGCCCGGATGGGATATCAGGGTTCAGGGTTTAGGGTTTCGGGTTTAGGGTTTAGGGTATGAGAATCACTCCTCATACCCTCGTCGAGAGCTTTCGGGTCTAGGGTTTTAGTTTGGGGGGGGGGGGGGGGGGGGGGGGATGAGCTGGAGAACCGGTGCATCGTTCTACAGTCCCCGGCAAGTAGGCTCAACAATATGCTGAACAACACTTGATCATGTGACTCGCTGGTTCTTAGTAGGGAATGAGGGAATGACGTACCCTATATAGTCCCTTTAAAGGGATTGTATAGGGTACCTCATTCCCTCACTCCATACTAAGAACCAGCCAGATGAAGGCCCAATAATATGCTGAACAGACACTTGATATAGTGCTTGAATCTCGAGTATCCCCAAAAAGCACACCCCACTATACACTCGCCAATTCCATCAGTGCGGATGGGCTCAAGCCAGGAGACAATCGGCAACAGGCGGTCTAAGTAAAAAAAAAGGGGGCTTCCCCCGAAACCTAAGGGGGTCCGTGAGCCCTTGTGCAGAGATGTTGCCACTTCTGTGTTTTTGGGCGCGGAGAAAGAAAGGGAAGCCATACTAATTAGTTTTTGGGAAGCTATAGCAGAGATTCTACTCCTCATTTTTTGTGGAAAATGTGCAACCCCAAGCACACAGAGGGAACACCGGAAGGGACCCCAGGAAGGGACTCTGAGCAAGCAAGACCCAAATAGCCCCATATTGCATATGCAAGTATGCAAGCCAACATTGCCTCACTAAGGGTCGCTCTTTCATGATCACCCTACTCTGGAGTAGACCCTGGGAAAGAAGTGTATACTTCTTAAGTATAAGTAGCCATAATAGGAACCCAGAACCAAACACAAGCATTAACGTATAGTACTCCAAAACCCTAACCCCTAAACCCTAAACCCTAAACCCTAAACCCTAAACCCTAAACCCCAGTCCCTTCTACCGTGGCGTGCGGAAGAACGCTGCCCCGACCTGCGTGCTGATCCGATGGAGCAGCTCCTTCTGACCATCCTGGTTCCAGGAAATCCCTAGGGTTTGGGGTTTAGGGTTTAAGTTTAGGCGGTTTAGGGTTTACAGGGTTTAGGGTTACAGTTCCAGAGGAGTGGCCAATCTACTAAGTACAGCTAAGGGGCTAAGGAGCAACCTGAGTGACAAAAATGCACGCAGCCCAGTTTGGGGCTCTGATGCTCCACTTATTCTCCCCCTACATAAAGGACCCGTGTACCAGATTCCGGTAGCACGTGATAGCCTGCGAGCATGGCCCATTAAAAGCCTCTGAAAGACCTAAATATAATTCTCTCAGCTGCGCCCAAAATGGTAAATATGAAAACATGTCACAAGGGGGCCTAGGGCATTCCCCCCCCTAAGCCCTAAACCCTGAACCCTTAGGCCCTGAACCCTAAACCCTAAACCCTAAACCCTAAGCCCTAAACCCTAAACCCTAAACCCTAAGCCCTAAACCCTAAACCCTAAACCCTGCATCCCTACAGGGCCTAAGGCTTCATCCAAAGGCTTGCAAAGAGGGTTTAGGGTTTAGGGTTTAGGGTTTAGGGTTTAGGGTTTAGGGTTTAGGGTTAGAGCACTGCCGCCAGGCCGCCATGTCTTTCCTCACGCCGTTCACAGAGATCTGGAGATACTGGCAGAAGCGGCCCGGTTCACACGGGTTTGGAGGGGTTTAGGCGTTTGAAGTTTAGGGGTGGAGGGGTTTAGGGTTTAGGGTTTAGGGTTTAGGGTTTAGGGTTTAGGGCTCAAGGCTTTTGGGCTTATCCCTCATATGCTAGGGGTTTAGGTGGGTTTACGGTTTATTTAGGGTTGAGAACTGCAGACGCGTGTGGTCGAAATGGAAGGTCCCTGTCGGACGACTGCTCCGCACACCGGACCTTGCATGCCAATGTCCCCACATTGAGCTTGAAAACCCTAAACCCTCAAAAGCAAACCCGAACATGAAACGCGACTGAAGAAGGCACCTTTACAGGGCTGATGATGGCTTCTGGCGATTCTGGAGCCTAAGCCCTAAACCCTACAGGTATGATCTTGGCTGCACTTAGGAGGGTAGTAAAAAAAACAAACTTTTAGCTGCCTGATGAAGAAACCCAATAAAACCCAAAAAGGCTCAGGATCTAAAGTTACAGTAAAGCACCACAAAGTGATGGTTTTGGGTTTAGTGGGCTTGGGGTCGACCCCACCCCACTGCGAGAGTCCGATGCCTGCACCTTCTGCATGCAGGACTTCATCCTCGGAGCGGGGGTTTACCGGGTTTAGGGTTTGGGGTTTGGGGTTTAGGGTTTAGGGTTTGGGGTTTAGGGTTTGGGGTTTAGGGTTTGGGGTTTAGGGTTTAGGGTTTAGGGCTATTGGGAGGGTTTAGGGTCATAATGCCCTTACCAACTCCAGAATCAACCAGTTGGCCTTGTAAATGCTGTTCCCATCTTGTGGGGGCTCCTGTCATAGTCCGACCGCTTGTATTTGGTGTGCCCAATGCAAGGACCATTTTCTGCTTTTTAGGATTCTGGGTAGCCAGCAACCATGCGAAAACCCTAAACCCTAAACCCTAAACCCTAAACCCTAAACCCTAAACCCTAAACCCTAAACCCTTTTTAGGGCTGGTTACTTCACAAGGGAACCATGGCCAAAAAAGGGCAAAAGGGCACCCCTGGGGCCCAAGGATTTGTGGGGTTCTACTTACAAGGAGGGGCCCCCTAGATATAAGTAGAGTTATAAGAGCCCTAAATTGGGTTATAAGGATCCTAAGTTCGGTTATAAGTCCCTTAACTACAGTTAGTATAGTAAGGGAGCCCCTCCTTGTAGGAGCTGACGAACTGAAGTGTGGGCCTGCCCTGCTTTGAACGGCACAGGGGCCCCACACCACACGTACGGACGTGCGGAACTGCCCCTCAAATCTCGGAGAAAACCCTCCAAAACCCTGATCGCCCACCTCATCTTTAAAGACTTCCGGGGCGGGCCCCTGCAAGCCCCAAACCTGAAGCGGAAGCCTCAACCCTTAAACCCCAAACCCGACCTCCAAACCCTCAACCCCAAACCCTTTGTCGACGATGTCTAAGAGAATCAGCAAACCCCGAAACCCCCACACCCAACCTCAACCCCAACCCCTCAAACCCCTAACGGCCCCTAACCCTAAAGGCTAGAATGCCTACACCCTAACCCTCAAACCCTAAAACCCCTTACCTAAGCCCCGAAAAAACCTCAAGCCCTTAACTGAAAACCGCCAGGGCCGGCGCCGTTCCCGGATGAACCTGAGGGCAGCGCGGCCAGCGAGGCCCAGGTGTGAGGTACAGGGTGGGTTAAGGTTTAGGGTTTAGGGTTTAGGGTTCAGGGTTCAGGGTTCAGGGTTCAGGGTTCAGGGTTTAGGGTTTAGGGTTTAGGGTTTAGGGTAATGATGTTGATCGTTTGTTTAGGGTTTACGGTTGATCGGGTTTCGGGTATATTTGGAAACTTAAAGGTGCACAACCACAGTTTCTTGAATATGGGGTTACAGGGGCCTAACGTAAACGTTACAGTTATACAGCTTGGCTGCACTCAGGAGGGTACGTAGTAAAAAATGAACTGTTAGCTGCCTTAATAAGAAACCCAATAAACCCCAAAAAGGTAAGGATCTAAAGTTACAGTAAAGTACCACAAAGACAAGGGGTGAGAATTGTAATATTCGGCGGTCCAAGACTACTTTCCATTACGGAAGCCCTAACCCTAAACCCTAAACCCTGAAACCCTAAACCCGAAAGCTACATAAGGGGTCGGGTGAAAATAATCATGGGGCGATATTTATAAAATTCGGCTGGCCAGAAGTCAAAGATTTGATTGCAGATTGCTAAACCCTAAACCCTAAACCCTAAACCCTAAACAGCACCAGAAGCCGAAGACAAAGTCGCGGTCGCAGACCAAAAAGAGCTGCAGAGAGGAGGCACCCTTGAAAAGGAGCCAAAGCAGACCCTTCTTGACAGCTGTCCCCCCCTAGACCTCCAGACCCCAGACCCCCAGACCCCCAGACCCCCAGACCCCCAGACCCCCAGACCCACAGAATTGCCACCCCCTCTTTCTTACCACCACGAAACCAAAAACAAAAACCGGGAGGGGTTATTGTAACCCTTAGATTTGGTTGTTCCCCCCAGTCCTAAGGCCCGGGGTTCATAGGCTTTGTGCTGGGGATTGAGGTCTTTCAATCAAGGCAATCGAGCCTTTCGTGTGGCATTTGGCTATCAAGGCCGATTCGCGCAGGCACTCTTAGAGGGTTTAAGGTTTAGGGTTTAGGGTTACAGTGCCCGTCAAGTAATCGTTCGACCTGATTCTAGCTTGACAAACTTCGAGAAGTGCCCATCATAGGACTCCATTAACCCTAAAACCTGAACCCTAGCATCCCCCAACCCGCCTAAAACACAACAACAAGCCCTCCTTGGAGGTTCATGGTACTAATTTTATAAGTACAGTTATAATTGGTTAGTAAGTACCATGAACCTCCAAGTCCCTCCACTCCTGTGAGGCTCACCCCGCAACCACCAAATTTGTGAGGTTTAGGGTTTCTAGGGTTTAGGGTTTATAGTTCTAGGTTGATAGGATAGGAATTTAAGGCTTTACGGGATCTGTAGGGCATGTATGAACAGAATTTCCGTCGCGCGGTCCCCGATATTCATCTCCTGCGCGGGATAGCTGGTGCTCACGCCCACTCAGGAACATGACGCGGCCCTCGGCCGTCAACCGTCTCAAGGTCGCCCCGAGATCTCCTCCAACTGAGTGGCCGCTGCTTCACTCGGCGGCTACGAAGCAACGCTGTCATTGGCAGGGGCACCCTTATGAGGAGTTGTAGGGTTTAGGGTTTAGGATTTAGGGTTTAGGGTTTAAGGTTTAGGGTTTATAGGGTTTATAGGGTTTATAGGGTTTATAGGGTTTATAGGGTTTATAGGGTTTATAGGGTTTATAGGGTTTATAGGGTTTATAGGGTTTATAGGGTTTATAGGGTTTATAGGGTTTATAGGGTTTATAGGGTTTATCGGGTTTAGGGCTTAGGGTTTAGGACTTAGGGTTTAGGGTGCTTCGGGCCTCGGGTTCAGGGTATGAGGATGATTCCAACTGCTGCCAAGCGACTTCTTCACCTGCGTGAGTCTGCCCGAGTGGTCCTGCCAGGGCGATGCTCGGCAGCGCCATCCCGAAACCCTAAAGCACACACGCACACACACTTTAAAAAAAACAAAAACTAACCCTAAATCTTAAACCCTATACTCCTTGAGGCCTCTATCCTAAACCTCAAACCCTAAACCGGAAAACCCTAAAACCCTAAACTCTAAGCAGCTTGCGACACAACGCCAAGACAACAATTGCCACGCCACCATCTTCCCCCTCCCCCCCCCCCCCCCCCCCCCCCCGGGCTCCCCCACTCCAAGGTTTTGGGTTTAGGGTCTATTCAGGGTTTAGGGTTTAGGGTTTAGGGAACTTTCTTTTGGTATAAAGTTTGGGGGAAATTTGGGCTTGTGAGCCTCGTCATCGCGCTGCTCGGGAGCCAGGAAGGTCTCCTGCCAGTTCCAAGGCGAGACTCAAGAGTAACCTATGAGGAGCTTCTTGGGGTTTAGGGTTTAGGGTTTAGGGTGTAGCCTAGGAATACAAAGTGTACCATTTTCTGGTTAAAGGGCTGGTAAGGGAACCCAAACCCTAAAAAAGGGAACACACCTTTGAAGCTAGAAACAGGGTTTTGGGGTTCATGGATTTTAGGGTCTTTAGGGGCTTCGGGTGTAGGGGTTTAGGCTAAAAGCTTTAGGGGTTTCGGGGTTGTACCGGTTTAGTGGTGTAGGGGTTACAGGGGATTGGGGTCTTCTTGGACCCCTAATTCGGACACCCTAAACCCTAAACCCTAAACCCTAAACCCTAAACCCTACATCAGCGCTGGGTCTTTGGCGCATTGGAACATCGGAACCTCCGAGTCCCTCCGCTCGTGCAGTTTACAGGGTTTGCAGGGAGTATTGAAATGTTATAGGGATTATAGCGATTATACGGGGTTTATAGGTCATAATCATTATTGGGTTTACAGGTTTTTAACAGAGTTTATAGGGGTTTATAGGGGTAGGTTTAACATTCACAGGGTATGAGATGGGGTGGCCCGCTTCCCTGTCATGGGCCTTACCGTCCTTGGTCTTGGGCTTTCCCTAAACCCTGAACCCTACACCCCCCAAACCCTAAATCCTAAACCCTAAGCCCTATAGACGGCCAAGAGAGCTGCCAGGCCAGGCGCGCCGAAATCACCATGCTTTCCACACCGCTGCATGAGAGCTTGCCCGGCCTGGAGCGTCGCGAGACCCACGTCCAAGAACTCACCTGCCCTGCCACACGACAGCCAGCCGCCCTTGAGCGAGATCTCCTATGCGAGCTGCCTGCCAATCCGGCCTCAGCTGCACAGCCGAGGAGCGCAGCATGCCGAAGAACGGGATGCATCTCTGGAGGCAAACATGCCAGGCGCCCGTCCCGAGTAGAGGCAAAGCAGGCCACGTCGTAGGCGAGAAGAAGCTCTTGGAACATTGTTGCAGTCTCAGAGTGGAAGAGCAACGGCAACGGCTCGACGTCGGACTTACTCCGCACTTTCTGAACTTTTGCAGCCGGCTGAGCCTCCGATCCACACTCCGACGAGCCGAAGCTTTAAACTCAAGGCTGCGGTTTCGGGTTGCGGGCTCATAGGAGCTCGACCTAGCTCTACTGACTCTAAACCCTAACCCCTAACCCCTAACCCCTAAACCCTAAACCCTACCTTGAGCCTTCAATCCCAAAAGCCAAGCCCCGAAACCGCCAGGGAGGCAGCAAGGCGAGACAAAGGTCCTCGTCGATGGACTTTTCGTGACCTGGGTGAAGCAGGAACCCTAGACCCTAAACTCCTAAACCCTTCAACCCCCAACCTTTCAACCCTTCCGAAACCCTAAGCCCCCCAAACGCCACACCCAAAATCCTAAGCCCCAGCCCCTAAATCCTGAACCCCAAACCCCAAATCCCAAATCCCAAGCCCTAAGCCCAACCCCCTAAAGACCCTAAACCTTAAACCCCAAACCCTAAATCCCAAAGCCTAAACCCTCAACCCTAAACCCTAAACCCCAAACCCTAAACCCTAAACCCCAAACCCCAAACCACAAATCATACCTTCAGAGGGTTTGGGTTAAGGCGCCTTTGGGGAATCTTGCTCTGGGCACCTCAGGGAGACGTACGGGACATTGAGGAACATCGGCTTTAGGGCTTTTAAGCTTTTAGGGGTTTTAGGGGTTTTAGGGTTTAGGGTTTAGGATTTAGGGTTTTAAGGTCTAGGGTTTAGGGTTTTAAGGTTTTGGGGTTTAGGGTTTTAGGGGCTGCCAGCTATCGGATGCCAATCGCAAAGCTTCGGGCCACCAATCACGTTCAATTTCACAAAAAAGCTCACGGCAGAACACCACACCGCACTATCATATCTGGTGTAGGGTTTCGGGTTTAACGGTTGCCTTATGTGTGTTAAGTTTTTCAGGAAAAAAAGAAGGAACGGACCCTAAAGCCTAAACCCTACTGTAAACCCAAAACCCAAAACCCTAACCCTAAACCCGAAACCCTAGACCCATGGGCCTAGGGTTGTAAATGTAGGAAAACCTCTCATCGATCTTGGATGCAGAGTAGAATAGAGGCGGGCCCATAGCTTAAAACCCAAGGGCCAAACCTCTTTGTGAACTGTGAACAAACTGCACAAGACACCAAAACCATTTATCAAAAATGGCACGCAAGCCTGTAGTACCTAGACCTCACATCATTCCTGAAACAATCGTCATCAAACTTCTGCTTGGGACTCAACTCCGAGCGCAAGGAGTTGAACGCCAGGGAGGGGTCCCCCAGATACAAGTCGCACGCAAAAACCGCCTACAGCTGGGTCTACGAGTGCCATCACCTGTGGGTGAGTGTCCATGTACCCCGTAGTACATTCTTGGGCCTGCAAGTGGTACAGGGCACAAGTAGAACCCTAAACCCTAAACCCTAAACCCCTATCCCTAAACCCTAAACCCTAAACCCTAAACCCTAAACCCTAAACCCGAAGTAGGGTCCCTCTTGGGGTCTATGTGTTCAAGAGGCCCTAGTTTCGAGAATTACCCACACGGGCCTTTTTTGTTTTCGTCAGACCCAAGAGTAGCCTAGGAATAAAAAGGGCGCCCTTTATGGTTAGCATGGCGTCTAAGAGAACCTAAACCGCCTAAACCCTAAAAAAGAGGAGTGAGGGTTTCTCTAGGTCCTAGTGACCCTAAACCCTAAACCCTAAACCCTAAACCCTAAACCCTAAACCCTAAACCCTAAACCCTAAACCCTAAACCCTAAACCCTAAACCCTGAACCCGCACTCACATGGGCCCTTTGTCTGTTCAAGGGAGCCCGAGCCCCTACTGAGAGGTTCATGGGACTTAATAACCACTTTTAACTGGGCTTATGACCCTACTTGTGGTAGGGATAGCCCCTAAAAGGCCTTTTATAGGGGTATTGTAAAAGGCCTTGGGCTTATAACCCTACTTACAACAGGGATAGCCCCTAAAAGGCCCTTTATAGGGGTATTATAGGGTTATAAGTACAGTTATAATTGGGCTTATAACCCTACTTATAGTAGGGATAGCCCCTAAAAGGCCCTTTATAGGGGTATTATAGGGTTATAAGTACAGTTATAATTGGGCTTATAACCCTACTTATAGTAGGGATAGCCCCTAAAAGGCCCTTTATAGGGGTATGATAAGTGGGGTTAGAAGTACAGTGATAATTGGCTAGTAAGTGCCATGAACCTCCAAGTAGCAGAGCCCTAAACCCTAAACCCTAAACCCTAAACCCTAAACCCTAAACCCTAAACCCTAAACCCTAAACCCTAAACCCTAAACCCTAAACCCTAAACCCCCGAGCCCCTGGCAGAGCCAGAGGTAGCTCTTCTTCCAGTTGATTGTGGCGCAGTCGCGGGAGATGCTTTGGATGCAAAGGACCTTCGGCGGCACGACGGACTCCTCTCCCGAAACCCTAGAACCCTAAAGCCCTGCGGTCGAAAATCTTCTTTAAACCCTAACCCCTAAACCCTACACCCTGGCCCCTAAACCCTAAAACCCTAACCCCTAAACCCGAAAACCCTGAAAGCTTCAAGCCCGATAGGGCTGCTTTGGGAAGTTTCGGGGTGTACCGCTTTCTATCTTGGAAGGGAGTACCTCCTGCCCCAGCCTATACAGCAACTGTCTTCCTTGTAAGGATTCTGTACGGCCCTGAACTCCCCCCCTACCAAGAAGAACACAGTTTATTGAGGGTTTAGGGTTTAGGGTTTTAGGGCTTAGGGAGGTTTAGGGTTTAAAGGGTTGAAGGTTTAAATTTAGGGCTTAGGGTTTAGGGTTAAGGGTTTTGAGGGCTTTAGGGTCCACACGCGCATATCTAGGGATTGGGCTTTGGGGCATTGTAGGGCCAAAGGATCTATAACACGGGGTTTATAGAGGGTTTCGGGGTTAGGGGATTTCGGGTTTCTCAAGTCAGGGTTTAGGGTTTAGGGTTGAAGGTTTATGAGGTATGGAGGGAGTTGAGGGGTTGAAGGTCTATCCATGGTCCCAGGTTGGTAGCATGCGGTTTGGGGCTTCCAACCCTCGCCTTGTTTGGGGGGAAAAGTCAGGTTTGAGGGTCGGGGTGTGCAGGTCTGGAGGATAACGCCATTGATCCACAGGATTTTCGGGTTGCTAGTTTGAGGGTGTGGGGGTGTTTGTGTACCCTGGAAGTTTTGGGTTCAGGTTTCTGGCTTAGGGTTCCATAGCGAACCTGTATAAGCCCAACATGGACGAAGCTATCAGTGACAACGGGTTGCAGGGCTTGGGAATCATAAGTTAGTGTTTAGCAATTAACCTGAAACCCTCAATTCCTTAACCCTAAACCCTAAACCCTAAACCCTAAGCCCTACACCCAAAAGACTCTTTGAGGGGATGCCAACGCAGAGGCTCCGGCCGACAGGGAAGGATACACGGCCTTGGCTTCGCAGAGAGTACCTATCCTGGTTCCCTTGCTTTAGGGGGCAGGGTTCAGGGTTTGGGGTTGAGGGTTCAGGGTTTAGGGTTTAGGGTGCTGGGTCTAGGGTTTAGGGAAAGTTTAGGGTTTAGGGCTTAGGGTCTAGGGTTTATGGTTTAGGGTTTAGGGATACTTGGAGGTTCATGGTACTTATTAACCAATTATAGCAGTACTTATAACTGTACTTAGATTGGTTAAGAAGAACCATGAACCTCCGAGTAGGCTACGAAAGACAATCGCAGTTCCTTCTTGGGGTTCCTGGGGACTCTCTTGATGCATTCCACGAGCCCCCCCAAAATTAGACACCTGAAACAAAGAACTACAAGTCGGACTGGGTCGTGACCCGAAATGGCAACTGCAGCCCCCCCCCCCCCCCCCCCAAAAAAAAAAAAAGACAGCATAAGGCACGACTGAGGGGTTTAGGGTTTAGGGTTCAGGGGTAGGGAACACTGGGGCGTTTGAAGGCCGAGTAATGAATACTTCTGCGAAGACCCATGGGGTCCGTCCCTTGGACACCAAACCCTGAATCCCGAAACCAACCCTGAACCCCTACACCCTAAAAAGCCTGACAAACCCTAAGCCCGAACCCTAACCCTAATGCCAAACCCTGAACCCTAAACCCTAAACCCTAAACCTTAAACCCTAAGCCCTAAGCCCTACACCCTAAGCCCTAAGCCCTAAGCCCTACGCCTATAAGGCCTAAGCCCTAAGCCCTCAGCCCTAAGCCCTCAGCCCTAAGCCCTAAGCCCTAAGCCCTAAACCCTAAGCCCTAAGCCCTAAGCCCTAAGCCCTGAGCCCTCAGCCCTAAACCCTAAACCCTAAACCCTAAACCCTAAAGCCCTAAAGCCCTAAGCCCAAAGTCCTAAACCCTAAACCCTAAACCCTAAACCCTAACCCCAAAACCCTAACCCAACCCAAAATCCTAAAATGGGCGCATGCAGAGCTTTGGCATGCATCATGCAGAGCTTTGGTGTGCCGCCAGGCTTCCCCAAACCAGGCCGTGACGATGTCCGCCTCCCAAAAACAATGCGCCGATGCGGTTTTGAGAGGCTTACTCTGGCTTAGGGTTCACGGTTTAGGGTTTAGGGTTTAGGGTGTAGGGTTTGGGGTTTAGGGTTTAAGTTTAGGGTTTTCGGATTTCGGGCAGTGGGTCGAGGGGTGCAGGCTTCAGGAGGGAAGGAGGGGGTGGTGGAAGGGGGGCGGTGGGGGGGGGGGGGGTTGAGAGTTTCATGGTTAGAGAAAAATGGACGCAAAGGGCAGTTGCCAGGTCGCACGCATTCCCTCCCACTCCCTACATCCGAAACCCTAAACCCTAAACCCTAAACAATAAACCCTAAACAGTAAACCCTAAACCCGCCAAATCCCAAGTGCAAGCGCGCAGGATCAGAATGGTTGTCTTCACGAAAAAACAAGGGAAGAGTGCCACTCGTGGAGCTTCTGACAGGAACGCCGAGGTTGGGTTGAGGGTTTGGGGTTTAGGGTTTAGGGTTTCGGGTTAAGGGTTTAGGGTTTAGGGTTTAGAGGGTATAGGGCTTAGGGCACATTGGTTCTACAAGCTGCAAGGGCTGAGGTCTTTGCCTAGCAAGCTCTGCCTGCAACTTAGCGTTAAGGTCTTCCTCGCCCAGATCCACGGCAGCCCACAAGCACATCTCCAACTGTGGGACAGTCATGGCTTGCATCTTGCGAAAAATCTGTCTGCGGATGTCTGGCAACGGGGTCAGTACATCTGGCTCGGCATCCTGGAGCATTGCTAATGCCCACAAGCTACTCGACAATCCTTCTCGATCAAAGGCCACAGCCTTGCGCGATACGCTCTTCGCAAGGGCTCGCACCGCCATCAGGACAGCAGGAGCCGCATCTTGCAGTTGCGCAGCCGCCCGCAGGCAGACCCACAGATTTTGGGCAGGCATCTTTTCCGCCTTCTCTGTTAAAGGCCCCACGATGGCAGGAACAACGACCAGAACGGCAGGAGCTACCTCTTGCAGGTTCGCTGCCGCCCAAAGACAGTTGGACAGCTGTTGACCTCCCATGCCCTCCGCCTTCTGCGATGTGTGCTCTGCGATGGCAATTGCGATGGCTGGAACAGCCATCAGGACAGCAGGGGCCGCCTCCTGCAGGTTCGCGGCAGCCCAGAGGCTGTTGGATAGCATTTGAGGCTTCATCTTCTTCACTCTCCGCATTAGGTGCTCTGCGATGGCAGGCACAGCCATCAACACAGCCGGGGCCGCCTTTTGCAGTTTAGCAATCGCGAACAAGCTGTTGGACAGCCTTCGTGGTTTCATATGTCGTGCCTTGTCCTGCACACAGCGCACAAGAGCTGGTACAATGCTGTCCATGTGAATGCCAATATCTTGATGCACCTCAGCAAGCGCCCTCAAGACATTTGAAGCCTCACGTTCTGAGATCTTGTCCTTCCTCAGCATAGCACGCAGCTTCTTCGCCAGCTTAGGCCATGTGGAACTTGTGGCGTCCATGCGGCGAATCCCGAGGGAAGCTGCCCGAGTGAAGGTGGCCGACATGTGCATTTGGTCAAAACCCTGTCCCTCGAGCTCCTTGTCAATGAGAGCCAGCAGCTCCATGGTTGAAGCCGTGGTCTTGATCTTCGACATCAGAACCGTATTTGGGTTGGTGGACTGTGGGTCCGAGGGCTTCCCGCGGCGCAAGGTCACCGATCGCGAGCTTCTGTGAGCGACGTGGCCCACACCAAGCAGGAAGCGGCCAGGGCAGCCTGCAAAGCCAACTTCCGACCCGCAGCCACTTTCTAGACAATGCAGCAGAAACAGAGAAGCCAGCACCAGGCCCAAAGAAGCTCCAATGCGGCGCAGCAGCATCGGGCGGCCTTGCGCAAGTGCGGCTATGGCAATGACAGCTGGAGCCTGCCTGGAGTACGCATGTCTCTTACTCGTTCTTAGTAGGGACTTCGGGAAAACAGGGAGGATTTATATGCACCCTAAACCCTAAAGCCTCAACCGGAAAACAGTTAACTACCGTTCAACACTTGGCTGTCCCATCGCAGGGACCACAACCACTCTGAATCTACTGAGACGGGCTTAGGGTTTAGGGTTGAGGGCTTGGGGCTCAGGGTTTAGGGTTCTCCCCCCCTCTCCCTCCCCGGTCTGCCGCCCTCCCGAGTCCTCCCCCAATGAAAACGCACCCAAATCGAAGCCTCCGAGATGAGATACAGCGTCACGGCGTAGAAAACCACCACGGCCAACTGAGCAGCACAGGGCCACATAACTCTAAACTAGGGTTTAGGGTTCAGGGTTCAGGGTTCAGGGTTCAGGGTTTAGGGTTTAGGGTTTAGGGTTTAGGGTTTAGGGTTTAGGGTTTAGGGTTTAGGGTTTAGGGTTTAGGGTTTAGGGTTTAGGGTTTAGGGTTTAGGGTTTAGGGTTTAGGGTTTAGGGTTTAGGGTTTAGGGTAAAGCCTTAAGCCCTAAGCCTTAAACCCTAAACCAGAATAAGAAAATGGGGTTGTTTAGGGTTGAGGCTTTACAGGTTCGAAAGCTTGAAGGCTCGATCAACTTGGGCGTTGCCGTTAGGCCTTGGAGTTTGGAGCTTCGTGACTTCATCGGTTCAGGGGTGAGCTAGAGATAATTTGGAGGTGGTGCTTCAATCCTAAACCCTAAATCCTGAACCCTGAACCCTAAACTTGCCCTAAACCCTAAACCGTAAACCCTTACCCTTGTTGCAACCCATACCGTTCCGCAGCGTGTTCCGCAGCTAGCCCTAAACCCTAAACCCTAAACCCCAAACCCTAAACCGTAAACCCGAAAGCCTGAGTGACCCTAAAAACCCTCGCAAGACAGACCAACCCGAAACCCTGGACTCCAAACCCCTACACTCCTAAACCCTTAAACCGTAAAACCTTAAACCCTAACCCCTAAACCCTAAACCCTAAACCTTAAACCCTGAACCCTGAACCCTGAACCCTGAACCCTGAACCCTGAACCCTGAACCCTGAACTCTGCCCACCCTGAACCCCAGCTAGGGAATCTTTGTAGGGTTCGGCACCCCACGAGTATTTTCAACGTGTGTTCTGGGGTTTAGGGTTTAGGGTGTTTAGGGTGTTTAGGGTGTTTAGGGTGTTTAGGGTGTTTAGGGTGTTTAGGGTGTTTAGGGTGTTTAGGGTGTTTAGGGTGTTTAGGGTGTTTAGGGTGTTTAGGGTGTTTATGGTGCTTAGGGTGTTTAGGGTGTTTAGGGTCAGTCAGCACCAGTAGAGGCACCCTCTATGCCCTTGGATCCCGAAGGTTTCTGAAAGTTATGCAGGGTCCTCGTTTTTTTTTGAGCCTAGACCCTAAACCCTCTAAACCCTCAACCCTGTAAACAAGAAACCCTATAAACCCTAGACCCTAAGCCTTCCTGTTTTCTTTCTTCGTTGCTCTGTTTTTGCTTTTTTGGGCGGGCGCGCATTTAAAGGGTGATCCTATGGGTCTACAGGTGAATACAAACTCTTGGAGGATCCTGCACATGCATGCTAAATAGGTTTCTTGAGGGTGGGTTTAGGGTTTAGGGTTTAGGGTTCAGGGTTCAGGGTTCAGGGTTCAGGGTTTAGGGTTTAGTGTTTAGGGTTAGGGTTTAGGGTTTAGGGTTTAGGGGAAAGGGGTTCATGGGGGGGGGGGGGGGGGGGGGGGGGGGGGGGGCAAGGTTGCAGGGAAGCTTCGGGAGCCTTAGGGAGTAGTTGGGAGGTTTAAGGGAACCTTGGGTTGCATACCCTCCCTGTACCCTCCTCCCTCAAAAACCCTATCCCTAAACCCTAAACCCTAAACCCTAAACCCTAAACCCTAAACCCTAAACCCTAAAGCGTAAACCCTAAACCCTAAACGATATACCCTTGCTTTTCTGGAGGCGACGGGCGACGGGTTACTCTAGGTATAGGGTCTGAGGCTAAGGCTTCTGGTCTAGAGACCGGAGTCGATAGGGCTACGGCACCCTAAATCTTGAGCATGTTCGGGTTTGGGGTTTAGGGTTTAGGGTTTAGGGTTTAGGGTTTAGGGCACGTACCAAAACCTCTGGCGCGGCAAGGCGCTAGCAGCACGATCCACCGCCACCACGTGAGCTTGCGTATCTCCTGCATGTGTTTTGCCCTAAACCTCAAACCTTCAGCCTAAAAACCAGCAAAACTCTCACCTGGGACTCCATATACCGACAGTTTTGTGGGGTATACCTACTAAGAAAGGAGTAACTACTACTAAACAGTAGGCGAATAAAGCCCCACGTAAACCCCATCAGGAGTGAGGGAGCTGGATGGTCTAGGGTTACAGGGCAGAGGGGCTAACACTCGGCACCATGCCCCGAAGAGAGAAGCCGAGAGAGTTTGATAGGGTTTAGGGTGTAGGGTTCAGGGTCTAAGGTTTATAATATGGGATTTAGGGTTTAGGGTTTACCGGGACCCCCAAAGTCTAAGTATGTAGAAAAATCCCACCCCCAAACCCATAACATGATTACTTTACATACTTTGCGGGCTTAGGTAGAGCCTAACACTAAACCCTGAACTCTAAACCCCCCACCCCCCGCCCCCCAACCCCAAACCGTCCAGACTCAATGTAATAGAGTCCCTTTCCTCGTTCAGAAAAATCGCAAACGGGCTTAGACAAGCAAACTCTGAAGCCTAAACCTAAACCCTAAACCCTAAAGCTCTTCCTGCAGCTTCCTCGCTTGAACTCTTTCACACTGGTCGAGTCTAGCGACATCGATAAGTCCTACACCTTACCTCAAACCCCAAACCTCTGGAGCTCAATGCGGGACCATAAGGGACCCTAGCGGTTCTTTGGGGGTTTTTTAGGGGCTACTTAGGTATAGGTCAAATAGCGGAATTTTGTTGGACTGTACCCTTGGGTTTTGGACCTTTTTTAAAGATCCCTAAGGGAATGTAAGGGCCATATTAGGAGTATATTCGGGGGAACCTTTAGGGTACAATCTTAGGGGTACGAGTCTTCATCCCCTGGCTGACAAGCCCCCAAACTCTATGGACCCCTAAACCCTAAACCCTAAACCCTAAACCCTAAGCCCTAAACCCTAAACCCTAAACCCTAAACCCTAAACCCTAAGCGCCCCGCGCCTGCGACAGGAAACTGAAGCCGGTTGCTTGCATCTTCGGGCGCAGGAAGTAGCCACTGCCTTCGGGTTTTACCCTGATGGTTTAGGGTTTAGGGTTTAGGGTTTCGGGTTTAGGGGCTGATCCTGCGTGCTAAGGTTTAGTGGTGGGGGGAGGTTCGGATATAGGTCTGAGGAGTTCCCAAAGGCTCTGAAGCCTGTGTCCTTCAGGGTCTGAGATATTCATTGTGTTTTTTCCAGTTTTACTTCTTTTGTGAGTTTATAATTCTGGGTGTAAGAGATACACGGATTTTGTACTGCTGGGGCATTACGTGCCTATTGTGATTGTAGCAACTCCAGAACCGCGAGAGGTGGCCGTTGGCCATGTAGAAGTGGAGCTCTGAGTCCCCGCAACAACTCCTGGCCGACTTCCCAACCCCTCCTTTTAAAAGTATAACCCCTTAGGCTCCTTATTGTAGGTTTCTACAAAAACCCAAAAGGTTAAAGTCCCTCTTGTAGTTTCTACAAAAAAAAGCCCAAAAAGGTTAAAGTCCTAAGAGCCAGAAGAAAGCCAAGAACTGTCGTGCTTGGGCGCACGAAGGCGTGGTAAGGAGTAGGGCCCCTGAGGCTTAGGAAGGCATGGTAAGGCTGATTTCTGTCAACCCTCATCCCGTTAGCCCTTAAACCCTAAGCCCTAAAGCCTAAGCCTAAACCCCAAAAAACCGAACAACAAAAAACAAAAAAACGAAACCCTAAACCCTAAGCCCTACAACCCTAAGCCCTAAACCCTGGCTTCAAGGCTTTTGGGGTCTCAGGGGTTTCGGAAATGGGTCTTCAGCTCCTTTAGGGGGGCTTTGAAGCGGCTTCCGGCTTCTTGGGTATGCGCCTATGCCCTGAACCCCCAAAACCCGCAAACCCGAAACCCTAGTAAGGTAAACCCCAAAACGGTTGCGGTTTAGGGGTTAGGGATTAGGGGTTAGGGGTTCGGGGTTAGGGTTTAGGGGTTAGGGGTTGGGGGAATGGGGGGATAGGGGCTGGGGAGGTTAGGTTTAGGGTTTAGGGTTCCCGAAACCCCAAAACCTTAAAACCCTGTGGTTCTGGGGCTAAACAGGCCCCTCCCCAATGTCTCAGCCCAGCACAGATTCTCGCGCGCTCCTTGAGGAACGTGCAGACCTGCACAGGCACGTCTGTAGGCCCCAACATTGCTACGCAGGATTAGGGTTTAGGGTTTAGGGTTCAGGGTAGGGTTTAGGGTTTAGGGTGATAGGGCTTAGGGTTTAGGTCTAGGGCTTAATGTCAACGATTGATGGATGCCCTCAGCGCTTATTGCTCAACCAGTCCTGGAGCAGCCTCGGAGTCAAAGGAATACCCTTCTGTGTTTAAAGCAGTTGTGGTTTCGGGTTTAGGGTTTAGGGTGTTTAGGGTTAACTCTTTAGCCTTGTCAACCCTGCGAGAACCCTTAGCCTCTCAGTGCTGTTCCGTCAATAGCCCCCAAAGGTGAGGGTTTAGGGTTTAGGGGTTTAGCATTTAAGGCGTTCACAACTTACTACCTCTTTTCGTCTTGAACCCCCAACCTACCTGCCTCTCCCCCCCCCCCCCCCCCCCCCCCCCCCCCCCTCCAACCCTAGCCCTAAACCCTAAACCCTAAACCCTCAACCCTCAACCCTCAACCCTCAACCCTCAACCCTCAACCCTCAACCCTCAACCCTAAGCCCATCCCTCTCCCTCATAAGCACAGTGCATCTGAGGGCCCGAGCCATGCGCTCCTGCTCTTGGTCATAGCACCTTTGATGCAGTTCAGGGTTAGGATTCAGGGTTTGGGGCTCGGAGCTTTGGGGTTTCGGGCTGCCTACCCTATCCATTCAGCTTAGGGTTTAGGGTTTAGGGTTTAGGGGTTAGGGTTTCGGGTTTAGGGTTTAAGCTTTCGGGTTTAGGGCTTCGGTGGTTTCGGTGGGTTTCGCTTCAGGGATCGGGGCTTGTGAGGTTGTCGGAGTGTGTAAGTTTGGTGTCACAAGGAGAGATTTTTGAGGGTTAGGTTAACCCTACAAACCTGTCTGAATTTCAGCGTCCTGACAGCGTGGAGGCTCCCAAATCCCTCGGCCTTGGACGCCAGAACGACCCCAAAACCCCACAAAAGCCCAAAGACCCTGAACTGCACCGTTGTTGGGGCACATTTTGTTTCTTATTGGGCTCAAGTACTCAAACAAAAGAGAAATGATTTTCAACAATGACCTTGTGAGCCAACCCCCTATGTAGACCAAAAACCCCCTACTCTGCCGAAAAGCCCCTAACCCGCGATGACCCGCCAAGCCACTCGCAGAGCACAGCGATGAAGACATTGATGGTGCACGTCAAGAAGATGAAGACTCCCCCTTCCAGAATTTAGGGTTCATGGTTTTAGGGGTTCGGGTTTAGGGATTAGGGTTTTAAAAAGATGCCAGAATTCTGAAATTTGGCACCCCAAACACCATACCAGATTGAGTCTGGGGCACAGTATTTGAGGTGCCTTGTTGCATAATTATGTGGAAGGGGTCTCAGGTGCCAGTCAACATGCAGAGAGCATAGCCCAGACATCTACCCCTACAGTTTCCTCTAGATCCCTAAACCCTAAACCCTAAACCCTAAACCCTAAACCCTAAACCCTAAACCCTAAACCCTAAACCCTAAACCCTAAGGTTCATGTCGTGAGTCGACGTACCATCTTTTTCATCATGGGACTCTGCCTTGGATCCCTAAGGTTGTGCCCTTGGGTTTGGAGAATTCTTTCAGGTCCTCTAAGGGAATATACGGCGCACCTTAGGAGCATCTTAAGGGAACCACCCAGGGGTACATCCTTAGGGGTCCGGGTTTAGGGTTTAGGGTTTAGGGTTTAGGGTTTAGGGTTTAGGGTTTAGACTCTCTTGGTTTCAGGCATACACACACAGTGTCCCTAGCCAACGTTAAGGGGCCTGCAGTACATGCGATGTGTGGAACTGACATAACGCTGCCTGTCATGATAAGCTGAGGGTTCTAGTCAGCCAACGAAAGTCTTGAAGTTTGGTTCTCTCTGCTGGGGCGCAGCACCTAAACTTCATGACGAGCAAGACTACAAGCAAGGGTCCAGATGCGCAAATCAAGCTTCCCATTAGCCTAAGGATGAACATGGCGCACTGTCGAACAAAAATGCCGTGTGATTCGCACGCCTCCTTCTTTTCTTGTGCAAGGAGGGCGCGCGAATCAAACCAAAGCGTTTTAGGGTTTATGGTTCAGGGTTTGGGGTTGGGCCTATCGACAGCAGGATGATGGCGATCTTCTCCCGCTCGGGCATCCTGGCTGCTGAGCCCGAATCCCCCTCCCGTCTGCTTGGAGGTTCATGGGCACTTATGACCCCAATCAGGGTTTAGGGTTTAGGGTCTGGTGTTTAGGGTTTAGGGTTTAGGGTTGAGGGTTTAGGGTTAGGGTACTTATAACCACAAGTATATACTAAGTCTACTTCGAAGCTACTTAGGGGACTTAGGGGGCTTATAAGTCTAGGGTTGGACCCTTGGGTTCCTTTTTAAGGATCCTCAAGGGATCTGGATCTCGGTTCCACAGGGACATAGGCGAAGGAAGGGCCCGGCACCCTTTCCCAGGATTAAGTGGGTTTAGGGTTTAGGGTTTAGGGTTTAGGGCTTAGGATTTAGGGTTTCTTCTATGGAACCCCAGCCGTAAGAACAGGGCACAACTGGGCATCTGAATTCTCCAACTGCCACAAGAGTATAATGCACGGTGAGAGCCAAAACCCTGGTGACATAGGAACATCCGAGCCAAGTCACAGCCGCAAATCGTCGCCGCTCAAGAACTGCTCTCCGGTAAAGAGCAACACCACGATGTTGAACATCGAGATTTCCTGGCTGAGAATTTGCAGTGTTTCGGGTATAGAGTTAGGGTTTAGGGTTTAGGGTTTAGGGTTTAGGGTTTAGGGTTTAGGGTTTAGGGAGCAGAGTTTTGGCTCCGCAACAGCCCCATGAACTTCAGCTTCTCAGGGCCGGCAGGACACTAAAACCGGCCTCTAAGGCCACGGAAAAATTCTGATGTCGCCCGAATACCTAAGACCCGAAAAAAAGCCCAAAACCCTGACACCAAGAAGCTCTCTACACCCTCAGAACCTAGACTCCTAGACCCTGCAGGTTAAAAGCAGTCGATTCTTTGGACGCATGGAATTTCAGGGACTAAGCCGCAAGAAAGCGCCAAATCCGGGTAAACCCCTCCAGAATGACCATACAGAATCTCTGGAGAAACAACGCTAAACCCTAAACCTTTAAACCTTAAGCCCTAAACCCTGAACCTCCAAATTGACTATAATCCCTGGACCCACCGTCCCCCAAAACTTTCCACACTACCCCTGAATTCCCCAATTTTCTCATTCGTACTCACTTACTCAATTGTATTCTTTCTCGATAAAAAATTCACAACTGACAAGTCACCACCATGAATGTTACCCTTGCTCTTGTCGCATGTACCTCTTCTTGTCCCTTCTGTACGAACCCTCGTCAAGCCCCCTGCGGTTGGGCAAGCGGCGTTGATGTCAGCGCGGTCCATGGCCCAAAACGCATGGAGGAAAGCCAGGGTGATGGAGCACCTCGGTGGCACGGCATCGGGGTCTAGGATTTGGGGCTTAATATGGGGGCCTTAGTTATTCGAATAGGGTTTTAGGGGTTATTATCAAGGGAATACGATTAGTAGTTCTTCCGACCGCTACAGTAGGGTCGTGTAGGGTAGTGACTTTGCTGCTGGACACCTAAGGTTGTACCCTTTGGTTTGGGGACCCTGCTGTTTGATCGAGTTCGGGCAGATCTCAGCAGTACTTGGCTGACTTCTGAACCCCTCCTAAAAGTTAAACTGTTAGGCTCCTGATTGTAGTTTTCTACAAAAACCCACAAGGTTAACGTCCCAAGAGCCAGCTAGAAGAAGGCCAAGAGTATATTAAGGGAACCCTTGAGGGGTATAAGCATTTCAACCCCTTGCAATCCATGAACCTCCCCTAGCCACCTCTACGCCCAGTCAACCCTAAACCCTAAACCCTAAACCCTAAACCCTATCCCCTAAACCCTAAACCGCCTAAACCCTAAACCCTAAACCCTAAACCCTCTAAGCAGCAGAATCCGGAGTCCAAGTCTGGGCACATGATCAGCAGCATGCCAGCGATGGGAGTCACCGACTTCATGATGGGCAGAATCCTGTCGGTAGGGGGCTTAGGGTCCCGGGAGTTTAGGGTTTAGGGCTTAGGGTAGAGGGTTTAGGGTTCAGGGTTTCGGGTTTATGGGGAAGGAAGGGGGAAGGGGGGGTGGTGTACCGGGGAAAGTTTCAGACCCTGGAAGTCACCCTGCACGAAGTACACTACTACTGCTACTCTACTTGGCCGACTTCTGAACCCCTCCTGAAAGTTTAACCTTTAGGGTCCTCATTGTAGTTTCTACCAAAAACCCAAAAGGTTCAAGTCCTAAGAGCCAGCCAGCCAGAAGAAAGCCAAGTCTACCGCTGCTACGCTACTACGACTACGACGACGACGAGCTCTACTTCTTCCTTTTGGAAGTGTTTTCAGATTTTTGTGGGAGCGGCAATTGCACAGGGCCTGTGGATTTCGGCTGTGGTTTCTTTAGGCAGGAACCCTGCGGGGCAGATCGTCTACCAACACAGTATGTCTGATCACGGTTTCTTTTTGTTAGAGCGAGCGAGTGAGTGAGAGAGAGAGAGAGAGCGAGAGAGAAAAAGAGAAAGAGAGAGAGAGAGAGAAAGAAAGATTGACGGGGAACAAAAACATCTTGTTGTGTTCAGAGGTTTGGGTTTAGAGCGAGCTGAAGCTACAAACACCAAAACGAACCCTGAACAATAAACCCTAAACCTGCTGCGAACCCCTTCAGTCCCTACCTGCCTCCGGCCAGTCGCACGGAAGGCGCGAATCCTCAGGCGTCGCCCTCTACCACTTTAGGAGTTTAGGTATAGGGTTTAGGGTTTAGGGTTTAGGGTTTAGGGTTTAGGGTTTAGGGTTTAGGGTTTAGGGTTTAGGGTTTAGGTGTTTAGGGTTTAGGGTTTAGGGTTTACGGTTTAGGGTTTATCTGCAACCGGGTACATTTCACCCTACTAAGTACAAGGGTGGTCTAGTTCAGGCTCACAGGGCTCTTCCTTCAGTGAGTTGTGGCTGCGTATGCTTCGTCCAGCCGAGACAGTGTCAGATGAACTCCTCAGCACCCTAAACCCTAAACCCTAAACCCTAAACCCTAAACCCTAAACCCTAAACCGTCTTTCTGCCCCTCGAACCTAAACCCTGAATCCGAAATCCTACCTTGGGACTCAGGGTCTTTCATCTTGCTCTACCTACCTTAAGGCTCGGAAACCCTACCCTCAAAAGCACCCCTATGCCCCTCTGAAGCCTATAAACCCCCAAGAAATTCTCTAGCTCCCTAAGTCACATCGGCCTTGGGCCCCCTAGCACCCTATGCAAACTTAGGTGTTTCTGGGATGTGGGTCTTAAACAGTTATCACCCTAACTGGGGTAGGTTTGGGGGCCCTGTGACTTTTAATGATTTTTCTTTATGGCTTTATCAGGAAAATAGAGGGATTGAGGGTAGTAAAAGTCAAAAAGAATCCTAAACCCTAAACCCTAAACCCAAGCTACTGCCAAGGCCCCCAACGCCTTTTGCAGGCTTCAGCAGTATGGATGCGGAGCTCATGGCCCTCGCCGGTGGCCCTAAACCCCGAAAACCCGAAACTCCGAGATATAGGGTTTGAAGGTTTAGGGTTTAGGGTTTGACCTAATTTTTAGTTAAGGGTTTAGGGTGTAGAGTTTAGGGTTCAGGGCTTAACAAAACGCCAACCTAGCTATGAATACTAACGAGCCCTAAGCTCTGAACCCTATAAATTCAGGTCCTAAACCCTGACGCCTAACTCCAAAAACCTGATAATGGCTCAACTTGACTTGTCACATGTCTGGCCGGCCCGCCTGGCAGAAGCCGGCCTTGAAGCCGAGGATTTGCATCTGACGAACCGCAGCGACGATTGCAGGCACTGCCTTCTTCTCTGCCGTCGGCTCGGTCCAGGGCTCAGGCTCAGGAAAGTCCTTTGGCAGAGCCTCCGCAAAGCTTCGCCCTGGACAGTGCGCCGGATCGCCGCGCACCCACCACTCCTTCTGAAGCCTGAAGCCCGCTTACGAAAGCCCAGCACATCCTCAGAGCTCTGGCTGAAGGGGAGCGCGATGACCCCAAACCCTCAAACCTAAACCCTAAACCCTAGACTGGGCTCCCCGACTCCGTGAGTATGAGCAGCCAATGCAGCAGGCTGTTGATGGACAGCAAGACAGAGCCTTAGGGTTTAGGGTTTAGGGTTTAGGGTTTAGGAAGTTCAGGAATGCTTTACCCCCCCAAAACCCTATTCGAATTCTTGAGGCCCCTATATTCGAGCTTAGGATGGATGCTTAGGGTAGGGGGGGGGGGGGGGGGGGGGCGGGGGGGGGTCAAGGGCTTAAGACGTGCTTTGGGAAAGGTCATTGTAGGGTTATAGGGCTTCTGGCATTGCTCTCTTGTATATAGGCGCGAAGGTGAGCCTTACGAAGCAAAGATGTATGCGCAATTTTTATACACACTCAAATGAGCCCGTTCAAAAAATGATCGCAGCAATCTGTAGATAGGCTGAAGCCACAAAAAACAAACGGCAACACTAAATTCTCAACGCCGAGGACATCAAGCTTCAGCGTAGGGACCATTGTCGATCGGCTGGAACTCCACAGCAGTCTCCACAGCCAGTGAGAGCGCGAAAGTGCCCACCACGGCCCGTGGTAAAGCCTCAGCTCTTCGGGTAGTTTTGGGGGGCCTGACAAGGGGACCCCTTTTTTATACCCCTGATATTCCCTAGACAACCTCAGGGCCCACACTTCAGAGCCCCTTAAGGGAGGTTAGGGACCATATTCAGGGCCCATGAACCCTAAACCCCATACCCTAAACCCTAAACCCTAAACCCTAAACCCTAAACCCTAGCCCTAAACCCTAAACCATGAAACTACCCTCAGAAGCTGGACGGGATGCAGGCATTGGGGTTTCTACTATTTGCTGCAAGAGGGAATCAGGACACTCCTGGGCATCCGAGATGGGGGGGGCACGAGTATTGTCTAGGGTTTCCCTGCCAAAAACGCTATTGGGCAACCGAACTCCCGAACCCCAAACCCTAATCCCTAAAACCCTGGAACCCTAAAACTTTAAACCCTAAACCCTAAGCGAACCCGGACGTACCCAGGTGCGCAGTCAGTTGCTGCCGCCCCAGGACTGGGATTCGGGCTGACACGGGCTGATTCGGACAACTTTTAAAATTAGATTCAAACTGTGTTTAACAATGTTGGCTGTGTGTTTTTCTGCTTTATCAGAGGAGGGCTTATCAATCTCATGACTAAGGTAATTCCAGCGGCTTGGGGCTTCGGTCATCAGGTCCCTCCCAGGCCTCCCTGAAATAAGGATAGCCAGCTGGTGATGTAGGGTTCTTCAAAGCAGAACAGGGCTTAAATACGCCTCTTGAAAGACTACAAGGCAAACACACACACACACACACACACACACACACACACGCACACGCACACGCACACGCACACGCACACGCACACGCACACGCACACGCACACGCACACGCACACTCACACGCACACGCACACGCACACGCACACGCACACGCACACGCACACGCACACGCACACGCACACGCACACGCACACGCACACGCACACGCACACGCACACGCACACGCACACACACACACACACACAGAAAACCTCAAACCTGAGATCGGAATTTCTCAGCGCCCTATAAGCCCTACAAACCCGAAAGACCCTGTAAACCCAACAAACCCCATAAAGCCTTGAAACCCTATACACCCGATAAAGAACCCGATACACCCAACAACCGTCAATCACCCCCCTCAAAAAACCCTACAGAAAACCCCATGAAGCCGGATTCTTGGGCGGCCGAAGGCCCTAAACCCCAAACCCTAAACCCTAAACCCTAGGACCTAAACCCTAAAGAGCCACGGAACGCGCTTGATCCAGCGGAAAAGGAGGTGGGTGCCTCGGCTGCAAGATTCCGGATGTCGAGTCGAGGCTGCCGAGTCGAGGGTTGAGGGTTTAGGGTTTAGGGTTTGGGGCTTGGGGCTTGGGGTTTAGGGTTTAGGGTTTAGGGTTTACCGTTTAGGGCTATTGGGGTTTCGGGCGTAGGGCTAGTGGGGTTTGGGGCTTATAGGCTTTATCAGGGTGTAGGGACGAGCTGGGCCAGACATTAGGTCCTAGGGTTCGTAGCGTTTAGGGTTTCGTCGGGTTTAGGGTTCTGGAACTGTGTTCCTATGTGCCTGCACTTTTGTACATCATCTGTGAAGCCCGAAAAGGGGGAACTGTGAGACAGGCTGGTCCGCCTTAAAAAGAAACCCTTGGGATGTTCCCCCTTCTATTCCCCTAAACCCTAAACCCGAAACCCTAATCCCTATTAAGGACTGTTAGTATAGGGGGGAACATCCCACAGAAACCTCGCTGAGTGCCTCCGAGCAACTGAGGCGCTTGTAGCCACGCACAAGGGTCCAAACCTCTGCCAAGTTGGTCGTTTAGGGTTTAGGGTTTAGGGATTTCTCAAGGGATTATAGTCTTTCGGGGTATACCTGGAAATTTACCTCCGGAAGTGCTTCACGTGGTTCCCCCCTCCCACTCTGCATTTATTGTAGAAAGCTTGCCCCGACAGGAACTATTTACCAAACCTACTCCGGGGGGGGGGGGGGGGGGCCCCCCCCGCCTCCCGTAGGTAAATTAGGCCAAGGGGGGGGGGGGGGGGGGGGGGGTGATCTATATAGGACACGGACCCTTTAGGGACACTAAGCATAGTTGTACTAAACACAAGCACGAGGACCAGGACCAACTATCGACTCACACGGGCTGTAGGGTTCCCAACGTCGCCCCCACCCCCCCCCCCCCCCAGCACAGCAAACAAACCAAAACGAGCCCTAAAAGAACTAAGCCCTAAGCCCTGAACCCTAAGCCCTGAGCCCTAAACCCTAAACCTTAAGCCCTAAGCCCTGAGCCCTGAACCCGAAAACTCCAAACTAATAATGGGTGTTCCCAGAATAAGGATATCTGCCCAAAATACAGTCATCCTTGCAACAGGAACTCGTAAAATGGCCACCAGAAAATCCGGAAACCCGCAACCCTTGATCCCAAACTCCCAAACTCCCAAACTCCCTAAACTCCCTAAACTCCCTAAACTCGCCAAACCCTAGAACCGCTCCCTACACAATCTCTGGTGGTCGAACTCACCCACGCAGGCCGAGGCGCGAAGGTGAAGCACTCTGACACGCCCTCTGAGGCCAACAGGCCCCACCTGAGCTATAGGCTTGAGGATTTACAGGGCTTGTATAGGGTATTGGGTATAGGGTTTAGGGTATGGGGTTTAGGGTTTGGGGTTTCGGGTTTGGGGGTTGGGGGTTTAGGGGACAAGCCCTCCAAAAGCAGCTTCAAGGCTTACTGCCAAAGCCTAGGCCTCAACGACCCATGTGTGTCACCCAATGCTCTTGTAGGCCCTTGGAAGAGCAATGATTCCCCTACCCGCTGCAAGAAACCCTTGTCTAGAACATGCTTCATACGAGCCAATGCTGCTGTAGGTCCTTGACCCTTAACCTTAAACCCTAAACCTTTACGAAACCCTTATCTAGGACATGTTTCAGAAGGGCTTAGAAAGCCAGCCCTGAACCCTTTTAGCCCTAAAGCCCTCTAAAAACCCGATAATCCCAAAGATCCCTTCTGTCCCTACCCATCCCTATAATCCCTATAAACCCTACAAGCCCTGGTACACATTCCATTATGGGATCCTAGCAAACTACCACCCGGCCACCAAAACAAGATCCACAAAGAACAAGACTTAAGGAAGCCACGCTTCTGCCTTTTGGGTGGGTGGGGGCCGGTGGGGGGGGCGACCCTAAACCCTAAACCCTAAACCCTAAACCCTAAACCCTAAACCCTAAACCCTAAACCCTAAACCCTAAACCCTAAACCCTAAACCCTACCCTAAACCCCAAACCCTAAACCCTCTTCGCGACTGAAACCCCTATTCCAGAGAACATCTGCAGCTCGGCCACAGCGCGCAGCGCAGAATCTTCGGGGCTTGCACCTGCGAGGAGCAGGCTCAGGGTTCATCTGGAGTTAGGGTTTAGGGTTTAGGGTTTAGGGTTCAGGGTTTAGGGTTTAGGGGTCTAGGAGCTTTGGGGGGTTTAGGGGGTTTAGGGGCTTTAGGGTCTAGGGGCTTTAGGGTCTAGGGGTTTTAGGGCTTAGGGTTTTTCAGGGGGTTTAGGGTTCATGGTGTCGAGGGTTTAGAGGGTGTTTGGGGGTCGTAGGCTAGGGGTTTTGAGCTGAAGGGTGTGGGATTCTCAAAGGTCGGGCTAGCTCTTCTACAACCAAACCAGAGGATTGCTCTGGTTGTTCCCGGCATGATGGCGAAGGCTCCCAAGGGCGATTTTTTCAGGATTTCGGGTTTTAGGGCTTCGGGTTTAGGGCTCCGGGTAAATTAGGGTACCTTCCTGGGCTCTTTTTTTAATAGGGGAATCCTACGTTTCCCTAAAAAAAACGGCGCCGAAGCAAATATCTTGTGCACTGATACGCGGCTCAACCAACAAATGGCGAACCCTAAATCCTAAACCCTAAAAGGGGTGCACTTTTGTTGCTTCAAGGGTTTATATATTTCAGGGAACTCAAACCCCCTCAACAGAATGGGAACCAGGGCACTGCTGGGCCTCCCCTAAACACTAAACCCTAAACCTTGAACTCTAAACCCTAAACCCTAGACCCTAAACCCCTGAACCCTAGAATATGAACCCTATAAACCCTAAACCGTAGAACGCTGTGCTGAGTTTGTGAAAGCACGGACGGCCTGGCGGGCGGCTACTGCAAGTTGTAGAACAGGAACGAGTTTTTCAGAGAGCCACGCTGAGGCTGGGAGGGTTTGGGGTTTAGGGTTTAAGGTTTAGAGGTGCCAGGGCGAAGGTCTCGTCTTCAAGTTTGCGCCGGGCAAGCTCTCCCTTCAACTTCTCTTTGAAGCCATCTTCGCCCAGTTGGGGTGGAGACATCGGCAACTCTGGCATCTTGGTAGCGACCATCTTCTGAGGAATCGCGGAAAGTCAGAAGAACGTGTCCCCAGGCTTGCCCAAATGTGTGTGTCAGGCAACTTCTGCATCTCGGAGGCTTGCAACTGCCCACAAGCTCGTCGTCAATCCTTGCGGATCACATCCTTCGCCTATTCCTACGTGCACTTCGCAGTGGCGCGAACCATGAATGAGAACAGCAGGGGCAACCTTTTGAAGTTTCCAAGCCGCCCAGAGGCTGATGGACAGCTCTCGAGGCTTCATGCTCTCGACTTTCTGAGGCATTCGCTCCGCGATGGCTGGAGCAGCCATCAACACCTCAGAGGCCGCCTCTTGTTCGCTGTGGCCCACAGGATGTGCGAAGAAAGTGCTGAGGAGTCCTGCTCTCGACTCTCTGCGTTATGCGCACAGCATTGGCAAGAGCAACCATCAGAACAGCACGGGCTGCCTCTTGCCGGTTTGCAGCTGCCCACCGGATGTTCGACAAGTGCTGAAGATCATGCTCTCGACCCGCTGCGCATAGCGCACCGCAATCGCAGGAACCGCCATCAGAACAGCCGGGGCTGCATCTTGCAGATTCGCCGTGGCCCAGAGGCTGAATGACAGCTCTTGAGGCTTCATTCTCTCGACCTGCTGTGGTATTTGCTTCGTAATGGCAGGAACAGCCATCAGAACAGCAGGGGCCGCCTTTTGAAGTTTCGAGGCCGCCCAGAGGCTGTTGGACAGCTCTTGAGGCTTCATGCTCTCAACTTTGTGAGGAATTCGCTCCGCGAGGGCAGGAACAGTCATCAGAACAGCAGGGATTGCCTCTTGCAGATTCGCTGTGGCCCACAGGATATTCGACAACTGCTGAGGAATCATGCTTTCGACTTTATGTGGTATCCGCCCCGCGATGGCAGGAACAGCCATCAGAACAGCAGGGGCCGCCTCTTGAAGGTTCGCAGCCGCCCACAAACTGTTGGACAGCTCTTGAGGCTTCATCCTCTCGACCTGTTGCGATAGTCGCTCCGCGATGGCAGGAACAACCATCAGAACAGCAGGGGCTGCCTCTTGCAGATTCGCTGTGGCCCATAGGATGTTCGACAACTGCTGAGGAACCATGCTCTCGACTTTCTCTGCAATCCGCTTCACGATGGCAGGAATAGCCGTCAGAACAGCAGGCGCCGCCTCTTGCAGGTTCGCAGCCGCCCACAGGCTGTTGGACAGCTCTTGAGGTTTCATGTTCTCGACCAGCTGTGATATTCGCTGAGCGAGGGCTGGAACAGCCTTCAGAACAGCAGGGGCTGCCTCTTGCAGATACGCTGTGGCCCACAGGATATTCGACAACTGCTGAGGAATCATGCTCTCGACTTTATGTGGTATCCTCTCCGCGATGGCAGGAACAGCCATCAGAACAGCAGGGGCCGCCTCTTGCAGGTTCGCAGCCGCCCACAAGCTGTTGGACAGCTCTTGAGGCTTCATGCTCGCGACTTGCCGAGGTATTCGCTCCGCGATGGCAGGAACGGCCATCAAAACCTCAGGGGCCGCATCTTGTAGTTTCGCGGAAGCCCAAAGGATGTTGGACAGCTGCTGAGGACTCATGCTCTCGACTTTCTGCGTGACGTGCACAGCAATGGCAGGAACAGCAACTAGAACCTCAGGGGCCGCCTCTTGCAGGTTTGCAGCTGCCCAGAGACTGTTGGACAGCTCTTGAGGTTTCATGCCTCCTGCTTTCTCGCGCGCACAGCGCGCAAGAGCCGGCACTGTGTCTTCCATGCCCTCTCCAATGTCTTGACAAATCCCCACAAGCGCCCACAGGACATTTGCAGCCCCACGCGGTGTGATCGTGTCTTCCTCGAGCATAGCGCGCAACTTCTCCACCAGTTTGGGCCATGTGGAGCTTTTGGCATCACTGGCTGACAGCTGGCGACTTCTCTTGAAGAAGGCTGCCCGGGTGAAGGCGGCGGATATATGGATTACATTGAACCCACTTCCATCGAGCTCCTGCTCAAGGAGAGCCAGCAGCTCCGTAGTTGAAGTCGTATTTTTGATCTTTGAAGTGAGAACCCTGGGTCTGGACCTTGGCCGACTTCTGAATCCCTCCCTAAAAAAGTTTAACCTTTTTAGGCTCCTTATTGTAGTTTCTACAAGAAAATCCTTAAAAGGTTAGAGTCTTAAGAGCCAGCCCAGAAGAAAGCCAGGAGACGGCCGTCGGGTGGGGGACTCTTTCAGCGATCGCGGGCCTCTGCAGGCAGAATGGCCCGACACTGACGGCAAGGTGGCGAGGCAGCCTGCAAAACCAACGTCCGCCCTTCTATTTCTACTCCTTGCAGAGTTTAAGTCTACAAGTACCCTTATAAAAAATGAGGTCTATAAGTACCCAAATAAACATGTAAAAGGTTGCCCCAACTATGCCAAAGTTACTGCTTCTTTCCAGCGGAAGCAGAGAAGCCAGCACGGGGCCAAGCAGAAAAGCACCCGGAGGGCGGCGTTGCGGCATCGGGAGGTCTTGCACGATTGTGGTGCTATACCCCTGAACCCCTACACCTATACACCCTACACCCTACACCCTAAACCCTGAACCCTGAACCCTAAACCCTGAACCCTAAACCCTAAACCCTAAACCCTAAACCCTAAACCCTAAACCCTCAACCCAGCGCCTTGCTGCTTGAGCAGGTCTGTCTCTGCAGAGCTCTCGAAACCGATTTCGGGTTTAGGGTTTCGGGTTTAGGGTTTAGGGCTTTCGGCTTAACCCCCTGCGGTCGGACCCCTCTAGGGACGGGGGTTTAGGGTTTAGGCTTTAGGGCAGTTTAGGGGTTTAGTTTAGGGTGTTCAAGGGGTGTAGGTACTTAGGGAACCTTCGGGAAGCTTAGGGAGCCTTAGGGAGTAGTGGGGAGTGTCAGGGAACGTTGGGTTATAAACCTCCCTTGAACCCTCCTCCCTTAAGAACTGTATAAGCCGTTACCCTGAACCCTGAACCCTACAAACACTACCCGAAGGGTCCATGTACCTCATTGTTATATACTTGGACCCCACAGTCCCTATATAGGAAGTACTTTAAGGCCTAAGTCCAGGGTTTAGGGTTTAGGGTTTAGGGTTTAGGGTTTAGGGTTTTAGGGTCTTAGTATTTAGCTACATGGACCCCTTAGGCTTCAAATACCCCCAAAGCACCGAAACCCCGCGGATGCTCGGGATGGTGCCTGGCCGGAGCCCCAGATCCAGTAGCAGATCACCGCGTTGGCGAGAATCTGCCGGGCAAGACTTGCTCAGGGAGCAAGGGAACTTAGGGTTTAGAGTTTATAGTGTTTAGGGTGTAGGGTTTGGGGTTTAGGGTTTAGGATTTCTAAACTTCAGCCGCAGAACATAAACGCCCCTAGTGACCCCAAACCGTCCTAAAACCCTCAACTGCTTTCAGGACTCAGTTCACACGGCGCGAATTCGCGAACCCGGAAACAAGCCCAGGAACGCCACAAGACTTCGGGGAAGATTAGGCACCGACAGCTGCAATTCGGGTACTAGGGGCCCAGGCTTTTGGGTTGAGAGATGCTCGGAACCCCTCAATGCAAAACCTCTCTTAGCGCCTAAGCCCCGCCAAAAACTCCTAAATTCTACAACGCCCCGCAAAGCAAGGGCCCTAAACCATCACAACCTTGAGACAAGTTTGTGTGCGCGTGAGCCATTTCTCGGGCCGCCTGATGGCCGAGGTCGATGAGGAACATTGGCCTCCCAATATCGAGCATGCAGCTCCGTGTCTGCTTCTTGTTGCTTGGCCTGCCTTATACCACACAAGCACACTAAGCTGCACTTACAAACAGAAACAACAAAAAACCCTATTAAACCCCTAACCCTAAACCCGAAACCCTAAACCCTAAACCCACGCCGGCACCGGCCTGAACGCCTGCCACAGGTGCTTCAGAAGAGCGTGGATCACCAGCTTGGTGAAGATGCGCTGGTCCTTCGTCGCCGCCTCAGGCGTAGGGTTTAGGGTTTAGGGTTTAGGGTTGAGGGTTTAGGGTTTAGGGTTATAACTGTACTTATAGCTATGTTAAGGGACTTAAGGGGCGTTTAAATGGGTCATGAGTACAGTTTTCATTGCTTCATAAGTACCATGAACCTCCAAGTACCCCGAAACCCTGAAGCACCAAATCCCCTGAACCGTTCAAACCCCCGAGAGCCCCAAATCTCCAAACCCACAACCAAAACCCAGACCCAAACACCGAAAAGGATGGAGACTCCAAAACCTGGAAACCCGAAAAATGAAACCCTAAATCCCCAAAACACTTGAGCCCGACCTAAAAAACTAGGGTTTCGGGTTTAGGGTTTTGAGGTTTTAGGGTTTAAGGTTAGGGTATGATGAGACCCTAACACCTAGCAAACCATAAAAAGCCCTAACACACTTAAAGCCCACCCTCAGCCCGCCAAAGCTACGGCTAAAACCTAGAAACCTAAATATTAAAGGTTTTAGGGTTTAGGGTTTAGGGTTTAGCCCTAAATCCCTAAAGCACTGGAAGCCCCACAACCTAAAAGTCGAACCCTAAACGCGAGAACCCCAAGACCCCAAAACCCTAAGCCTCTGAAAATCTAACCCCCCAAACCCATAACCTTGAACCCAGACACTAAACTCTAAACCCTGAGACCACCCCCCCAAAAAACCAAGGTCCCCAAAGACCCCAAGACCCCAAAACCCTAAGCCCCTGAAAATCTAACCCCCCGAAACCCATAACCCTGAACCCCAAACCCTAAACCCTAAACCCTAGCCTAGACCCCAAACCCTAAGACCACCCCCCCAAAAGACCCCCAAGTCCCCAAAAGAGGGATGGCTGAGGTCAGTGCCAGGCAGTGGACCATCTCACAGTTCAGAACCCCTGGTTTAGGGTTTAGGGTTTAGGGTTTAGGTCACCCAAAGGATCCCGTGAACATCAGCCGGGTTTATAGAGTTTTAGGGTTTTAGGGGTTTTTGGTTTGGGATATGCGGTTTTGGGGTGCAGTGTGTTGGGGCTTGGGGTCAAATTCGTCAGCTGACGCACGAAATGCTGAACCCTAAGCCCTCAACTCCAAATCCTCACCCCTAAGCTCTGGACACACAACCCTGAACCCTAACGTTTCCCGAGTAAGCGCAGCATGCAGGTTTGGGGTTGAGTCGGGTTGAGACCTAACCCGAATTCACAACCTGAACTCGTGCCCCTAAACCAGATCTGCACAGTAGTTTGTCCTTTGTTATAGAGTTCTTCAGGGAGGGGGGGTTTCTAGGGGGTTTAGGATTTAGGGCTTAGGGTTGAGGGTTTAGGGTTAATGGAGGGGGTTCAAGAGGGGTATGCCCAAGGCTCCCTAATACTCCGTACTACTCCCTAAGGCTCCCTAAGGTTCCCTAGGCACCTACCGCCCATGAACCCCCCTCCCTTAAGGATTCCATAACTTTGGTTTGCCACTCGAAACACAAAATGTCGTCATGACTCTGGACCGTCCGCATGGCTCGTCTTCATAACTTGGGGGTTGCGGCTTCAGGACTTAGGGCTCAGGGGCCCGCATCCCCACACCCTAAACCCTACACACCCTAACCCCTAAGCCCGAAAATTTCGGCCCTAAACCCTAAACCCTAAACCCTAAACCCTAAACCCTAAACCCTAAACCCTAAACCCTAAACCCTAAACCCTCTTCAGGGCCTGGAAGCAGCAGCACCCGCACGGTGACCTCCTGACTCTTCTTGGGGTCGGGAGGCGCGAGCTGGTCCTGGGAAATGAAGGGTTTAGGGTTTAGGGTTTAGGGTTTAGGGTTTCAGGGTTTAGGGTTAGGGTTTAGGGTTTAGGGTTTAGGGTTTAGGGTTTAGGGTTTAGGGTTTAGGGTTTAGGGTTTAGGGTTTAGGGTTTAGGGTTTAGGGTTTAGGGTTTAGGGTTTAGGGTTTAGGGTTTGGGGTATAAGGTTTAGGGTTTTAAAGGCTGACAATTACTGTTCGAGTTTTAACGGCTGATAGGGTTTCAAGGTTCGAGTTTTCAAGGCTGCTGGGGTTTCAGGGTTTAGGGCTGTCTGGGGTTTAGGAATTCGAGTTGAGTGGATGCAGAAAGCCTACGCTATGACGCATATGGACATGCGAATGGGGGGGGGGAAACCCTAAACCCTAAACCCTAAACCCTAAACCCTAAACCCTAAACCCTAAACCCTAAACCCTAAACCCTAAACCCTGGAGTGGGGGGGGACTGAATGAGGGCGCGAGGGGCGGGGCTGGGGCGGGTGGGGCGGTAGGCTGTTGTTCCCCCGACCTTTCCGGCAAGCGTCCATCCTGGCGTTTCGCCACTCAACCTTGAACCCCCCCTCCCAAAGGCCCAAAGCTGAGACATCCTAAGCTCTTTTCTAAGGGTAGTTGCATGGTCCCTTAGTATGGGCCCTTGAAAAGGTACCCCTTACAAACCCCTTTATATTCCCTATACATATTAAGGGATTCAGAACCCTCTTAAGGAGGTTAGGGACCATTCATATTAAGGGCCCATGAAACTACCCTCAGATGAAAAGCCTAAACCCTAGACCCTTAAGGGCCCATGAAACTACTCTCAGATGAAAAGCCTAAACCCTAAACCTAAACCCTAAACCCTACACCCGAAACCCTAAGCCCTAAACCCTAAAACATACACCCTACACCCTAAACCCTAAGCCCTAAACCCTAAACCCTAAACCCTAAACCCCACAAAGACCCGAAGAGGTGCCTGCCATGCCGGAGGCTTCGTCTCCGAGGCGTTCCAGGTCCACTCCTTCTCCGTGATGTACACGCCTGGGTTTAGGGTTTAGGGTTTAGGGTTTAGGGTTTAGGGTTTAGGGTTTAGGGTTTAGGGTTTAGGGGTTTAGGGTTTAGGGTTTAGGCTTTAGGGTTTTAGGGTTTAGGGTTTAGGGTTCAATTAGGTTAGTGTCTTAGTGGTCTTGGGCGGCTGAGGGTTCTGAAGCTTAGGGGGATGTAGGGTTAACCCTAAACCCCAAACCCTAAACCCCAAACTCTAAACCCTAAACCCTAAACCCTAAACCCTAAACCCTAAACCCTGGCGGTGTGTCGGTGGGTTTGAGGTTTGGGAGCTTAAAGGGCGTCGGGAGGTCAGCAAAAGGTTCAGGGTTCAGTGTTTAGACCTTAAACCCTAAACCCTAAACCCTAAACCCTAAACCAACCTACGTCGCAGCTGGCCGAGGTCTGGGCAGCTGAGTCGGCAGGCCTCTTGATCCACCGGGATGTTCGCCCGGACCTGGCAAGTCTAGGGTTTAGGGTCTAGGGTTTAGCGTTTGGGGTTTGGGGTTTTGGGTTTGGGGTTTGGGGTTCAGGGTTTGGGGTTTAGGGTTCAGGGTTTAGGATTCAGCATTAAGGTTCGCGGGTAAATGGTTTCGATGCCTCGGGTTTAGGGTCTCCGCTGAATGTGGGTTGGGGTTTAGGGCTTTGTTGGTATACCGGTCTACTTCACACCCTCTGAGATTTGAATTCTTGAGCCCCTATAAGCCCCTTCACAAACAGGATTCAAGTTTCGAAGTAACTATATACCTGTTCGAACATTGGCATGTAGAGTGTGGAGTAGTTACCAGAACAAGTTCAGCCAAGACATATAGCTTTGGTCAACCCATAAGACGTGCTTATATTCTCCTTGATGGCTTGCGTCCCAAAACTGAAAGCCTTGACCCTAGCCTAGACCCTCAACCCAATAGTATGTGGCGTTCGGAACCCTCAGCCACGAAATGTGCCAAGGCTACGACCTAAACTCCAAGCCGAAAACCCTCTCCTGACCGACGTTTGTTCAGCAACAATATCCCGAACTCCAGACAGACTCTTAGCCCTGACCCAAAAAAGGCTCCAGTTTCAAAACCACAAACACTACACCCTGAACACTACAGCATGACTCTAAACCTCAAAAGAGAACCCATGCTCGCTAAACTCCCAAGACAGCAAAACAGCTCAGGTTTCAGGGTTCTTTTTAGGGTTCAGGGTTTAGGGTTTAGGGTTAGGGTTTAAACCCTAAAACCCTAGAACCCCCAAAGCCCCCCTTGAAGCTTGAACCGAGGCTTGCGCTGGCAAGGGCCTATGGAACTTGTTCCCCTCCTGCGGCCGAGGAAGCAGTACTACCCCCCCCCCCCCCCCCCCCCACTCTATACTACCCCCCAGAATTAGGGCTATTTAGGGATAGTTAAGCCTAATTAAAGGTATAGGCTTTAGGGTTTGGGTTTAAGTTTGTAGTTCAGGGATGAGGGATTTGGGTTAGAAGGTGTGGGGATTTCGGGTTTGGGGAAGGGGTGGGGGAAGAGTTTGGAGCTTTTCGCGCTTTGGGGGTTGATTTATGCGTTAGGGATTTGGCTTGTGGGGCTTCATTTGTCTGTCATGCTTTGGACTCGTGAACTCGACAAAACAAACTTCAAACCTCCCGAAGCCGTGAAACCCAAGCTCTCCCCAACAAACCTCAACCTTAAACTCTCCCCAACAAACCTCAACCTTAAACCCTAGCCCTAAACCCTAAACCCTAAAACCTCAACCGAGAAACTTCGGGTTCAGGGACGCTGGGCCTCCAGTCTTCAGGCTGTTTGAGTGTTTGTTCGGTTTTATCTATTTATTTTGTTGTTTTTTTCCTGGGGGCGAGCGCCTCGGAGAACCAAAGGCGATGCGGCCAGGGGTGTGAGCTTAGAGTAGCCGAAAGTTGGTCCCGTGACTAGGGTCTACGTTGTAGGCCCGAAAACTATACCCTGAAACCCTGAACCCCTAGACCTAAACCTTAAAACCCAAACCCCCAAAACCCAAACCCCCAAAAACCCTTAAACCCCTAAACCCCCGAACCTAAACCCCCAAACTCCTTAACCCTTAAAGCCCAAACCCCAAAACTCCTAAACCCCTAAACCCCTAAATCCCTGAACCGCTAAGCCCTTGACTCGACCCCCAACATCTAAACCTCTAAGCCGCTAAACCCTGAACCCCTCTAAACTCCACAATCCCTTGGCTGCACTTAGGCGGGTAGTTAAAAAAATTGAACTTGTACCTGCCTTATTAAGAAACCCAATAAACCGAAAAAGGCGAAGGATCTAAAGGGTTTAGGGTTTAGGGTTTAGGGTTTAGGGTTTAGGGTTTAGGGTTTAGGGTTTAGTAAAGCACCACAAAGATCCTAAGCCCTAAATCATGGCCGGGTTCGGGGGGGCCCCTTTTCTAAGAACCCTCTGAATGAACATCAGGGCCACATTAGGAGCAGATTAAGGGAAAGCCCTTAAGGGGTACAACCTTGGGCGGTACAAGGCAACCCTAAACCCTAAACCCTAAACCCTAAACCCTAAACCCTAAACCCTAAACCCTAATTAAACCCTAAACCCTAAACCCTAACTCCACTGGGGCAGTCCTTCGGCTTGGCCGTGAGCATATCCAGCAGGTCGACGGCAGACTGCGGCGCCACCTCTATGAGCTCGCAGAGCTTCTTGACCTGGGTTTAGGGTTTAGGGTTTCGGGTTTAGGGTTTAGGGTTTAGGGTTTAGGGCTTCGGCTGAAGTCGGGTCGTCTGTGTTGCTCTTTCTTGGGTTTAGGGGTTTCAGCTTTAGGGCCTAGGGCTTAAGGTGTTTGACCGGGCCTTTTTGTTTTAGCAGCCCGAAGCCTGCAAGCATCCCTCAGCCCAAGACACCCAAAAAACCCCAAACCCCAAACAGCCCAAATCGCCCTAAGCCTCAGCATCCCTACACCCTATACGCTGCACAGTGTAGCCTCACTCACGGAATGCTAAATCCGAAGTCCTAAACCCTAAACCCTAAACCCTAAACCCTAAACCCTAAACCCTAAACCCTAAACCCTAAAAAACGAACCTGCACGAGCTTAGGAGGAACCACCTTGGTTTTGCCTGTTGGGTTGCAAGGGCCAAGAGAACCTCCAGCAGATTCCCTTGGTTTAGGGTTTGGTTTAGGGTTTAGGGTTTAGGGTTTAGGGTTTAGGGTTTAGGGTTTAGGGTTTAGGGTTTAGGGTTTAGGGTTTAGGGTTTAGGGTTAGGTTTAGGGTTTAGGGTTTAGGGTTTAGGGTTTAGGGTTTAGGGTTTAGGGTTTAGGGTTTAGGGTTTAGGGTTTAGGGTTTAGGGTTTAGGGTTTAGGGTTCCCAGGTAGACTCTCGCACCCATAACCCCGCCCTGCTTTCCTGAGCTTCCTGAGCTAGCTAAGCCCTGGTTGGGGTTTAGGGTTTAGGGTTGAGGGTTGAGGGTTTAGGGTTTAGAGTTTTGGGTTCAGGGTTTAGGGTTTAGGGGGCGGGGGAGGCCTTCTGCACGTCTGCAACCAAAAACCCTACATAGGGTTGAGGCTTAGGGAAGAATCCCAAAATCCCCCTAAACCCTGAAGCCTGAAACCCTAAACCCTATAAACACTAAACCCTATTAACCCTAAACCCTACACCCTCTAAACACTAAACCCTAAACCCTGAAACCCTAAACCTTAAAATCTTTCCAGGGCCCCCGGGCCGTGATCACTGGAGGTTCCCGATTCACCGCACTCTGGATGCTATAGGTCCAGCTATTGCCTTGCGGGCTCTGTGTCTTTTAGGGTTTAGGCTTCAAGGCTTAGGGCTTAAGTTGTAGGAGTGATGGGGTATAGCATGTCTAGTTTTGGGGTCTAAGCTTTGGGGTTTAGGCTTTAAAGGGCCTAGGGTTTTGGGCTTTAGGGCTTAAGGGCTTTAGGGCTTGTGGCGCGTTTTGGGGTATCCGGGTGCGACCGTAGCATGAGCTGGGCAAGTAAGAAGTGAAAACAGATGGGATGAACAGTGCATGCACATCGGCACCTGCCAAGACTTTTTCTTCTTTCCCGAAGAGTCTTGTTCAACCCTAAAACCCTAAACCCCAAACCCTAAACCGCAAAACCCTAAACCTTAACCGAAAACCCGAAACCCGAGACCCTAAACCCATTAACTTTCCCGAAGAGTCTCATACAAAGGAGCCCTGAACCGAGAATGAAAGGGTCAAGGGTTCCGGCTTTGGGGTTTTAGGGTTTCAGGGTTTTGCGGTTTTGGGGTTTTGGGGTTTTGGGGTTTTTGGGGGGGGGGTTTGGGGGTTGGGGTTGGGGGGGGGGGGGGGGCTTGTGAGCTTTGGGGGTTTTGGGGTTTGGGGCTTTGGTGGGGTTTGGGTTTTGGGGTTTTGGGGTTTAGGATGGTGTCCGGCTCCCTTAAACCCTTATATAAACCCTTAAACCCTTAAACCCTTAAACCCTTAAACCCTAAACCCTAAACCCTAAACCCTAAACCCTAAACCCAAACTGCTGGAAGCCGAAGGGCTGATCTTGATACTTCGAACCTCGACTTCGTCGAACCTGTGAGGGGCATGGCCCAAGTGAGCCCGAAAGCCTATCAAAATCCCTTAAGCTTTAGGGTTTTAGGGTTTTAGGGCTTTAGGGCTTTAGGGTTTGAGGGTTTGAGGGTTTGAGGGCTTGAGGGCTTTAGTGTTTAGAATTTAGGATGTACGGTTTAGGGTTTAGGGATCCAGTAGGGCACTTCCCAACAGAGGGGAACCCAATCTTTTACTCTCCCAAATTCTCAAACCTCACTTTCGGAAACCGAAGAAGTAACCCCTCCCCCCCCCCCCCCATTTTTGGAGACTCCCAGCTAACTTCGCAAGGAATACTTGGGCCTCAGGGCACGTACTTCGAGGTATCTACTGCTACATGGATCCTTGAGGTTTTAAGCCTGTAGGGCCCTCCATGCATGCCCCATAGTCCGGACCAGATGTTTAAGGTTTACCAAAACCCCCCAAAGTATGCAAGATAATGGTCCGTTTATGGGTTTGGTGCAACTTTTTACATAACCGAAGAGTTTGAGGCTTCAAGGTTTTGGATTACAGGCTTTGGCCAAGCTAGGGGGCTATCCCCAGACCCAAGGTAGCACACCTTCACCTCTAGGGTTCAGGGTTCAGGGTTTAGGGTTTAGGGTTTTTTAGGGATTAGGGTTTAGGTTTTAGGGTTTAGGGTCTAGGGTTTAGGGCTTAGCCTACAGCCAGGAAATTCCCACAATGGTGCCCCTTTTCTTCGGATTTCGAACAAGGCGAGGGGGTTAGGTCCCCTTATGAGTCGTGCCCGAATAGAAGGCTTCATTGGTCTAAACCCTAAACCCTAATCCCCAAAACCCTAAACACTAAACCCTAATCCTAAACACTAATTAAACCCAAACCCTGATTAAACCCAAACCCTAAATCCTAAACCCTAAAGCCTGAACCCCAAGCTAGACAGCGCCCAGGAACCCGTCTGCGAAGTTCCGCGCGTGCTTGGAGTCCGGATACTCGGAGCGCAGAAGCCTCGCTCGCGAGGTTTGGGGTGGACTTGGGGGGTTCTTGTGGGGGGGGGGGGGGGGGGGGGGGCTGGGCGGTTGGGGTTTGGGGTTTAGGACTAGGGTTGAGGGTTTGGGGTTTAGGGTTATCTAGGGTTTAGAGTCAAGTTTTTTAGGGTTCAGGGTTTATAGGATTCGGGCTTAGGATCAGGACACCAACGCGAACTCTTGAAAACAGAGGCTTTAAGGGTTTGAATTTGGGATTCGGGGGCGTTTGCAATCCCGAACCCGAGCTCTTGAAAGTAGAGGCTTTAAGGGTTTATTTTCGGATTTTGGGGCGATAGTGGTCCCCTACCCCAGCTCTTGAAAATACGAGGCTTTCCCCCGAGCTCTTGAAAATGGAGGCTTTAAGGGTTTAAATTTGGGATTTCGGGGGCGTTACTAATCCCTAAAGCCGAAACCCTACAACCTTGGTTGAGGCTTTCGTTTGGCCTTCCGGGATCTGGTGGTTCGTGTGCGTCATGACGCTTCTAGACCCTGACGCGATCTGCCCTAAACCCTAAACCCTAAACCCTAAACCCTGAACCCTAAACCCTGAACCCTAAACCCTGAACCCTAAACCCTAAACCCTAAAACCTAAACCCACTCTTGAAGCAGCTGATGCTTGCCGTCGAAAGGCGCTGTTGCCGCATCAGGGCAGTTGCGGGCAACCTGGCAGGAGCATGTGCTGAGGACAGACCTTATTAACTTATGACCCTAAACCCTAAACCCTAAACCCTAAACCCTACACCCTAAACCCTACACCCGAAACCCTAATCCCGAAACCCTACAACCGAAACCCTAAATTCAAACCCTAAGCCCGAAACCCTATCGCAATTCCCTGCGCAAGCCATGGCCCTACCGACCCACCACCACACTCTATCCCGGGCTTAGGGTTAGGGTTTGGGGGGCTTTGGGGTTTAAGGTCTAGGGTTTAAGGTTTAGGGTTTAAGGTTTAGGGTTTAAGGTTTAAGGTTTAGGGTTTAGGGTATAAGGTTTAGGTTTAGGGTTTAGGGTATAGGGTTTTGGGTTTAAGGTTTAGGGTTTAAGGTTTAGGTTCCAACGCTAAGCTTTAACATCAGCTCCACTGGGCCTGAAGCCGAATCACATCACCGAGGGAAATGAGGGGCCTTAAGGTTCAGGGCTCGGGCTGCTAGGGTTTAGGGTTGAGGGTTTAGGGTTTAGGGTTTAGGGTTTAGGGTTTAGAGTTTAGGGTGCGAGGGGTTTGGGGGCTTCAGAGGCTTCAGAGGCTTCAAGGGGTGGCGGGCTGGGACTTTGACACTCAGAGACCAAAGGATCTTCTCCGACAACCTGCAATCTACCAAGTCCTGTCGGTCCCATTTCCTTAGAGTTTAAACCCTAAACCCTAAATTTAGGACTTCTTAGCGGATCTGAAGGGTCTAAAGGGTTTAAGGTCCGGGTTCACCCGAACCTGGGGCGGGGCATGAACAAGAGGGGAACTCCTGTTGAGGGTTTAGGGTTTACCCTAACCCTAAACCCTAAACCCTAAACCCCAAACCCTTCACCCTAGGGATGACCACCCGACGGCCTGAAGAAACGCTTCCGCGCGGTCTGGCCGAGTGAGGGTCTCTAGCTTTCAACAGCCCAAAGGGTCCAAACACTATGGAAGGGTTTAGGGTTTGGGGTTTAGGGTTTAGGGTTTAGGGCTTAGGGTTTAGGGTTTAGGGCTTAGGGTTTAGGGTTTAGGGTTGAGGGTTTAGGGTTTAGGGCTTAGGGTTTAGGGTTTAGGGTTTCGGGTTTAGGGTTTCGGGTTTAGGGTTTAGGGTTTCGGGTTTAGGGTTTAGGGTTTAGGGTTTAGGGTTTGGAAGCAGTATTGGGCCCGTGAGACAAAACTTATGATGCCCCTTGAGAGGGACTACCTCTACATTGGTCAGTTCTCAAAACTAAAACTGGGGTCCCTTTGTGGCGCCCTAAATATTGTAAGGCCGCCCCATAACTGTGACAATAATTGAAAATCACCGTGGTAGTTGATCGAAATACCTGTTCCCAAAGCAACCGTTTGTTCCCTTCTAAGGCCAGAGGAACCCTAAATACTTTCTCAGAAAGGCCTTTGGACCAACCTAAGCCCTAAAACCCTAAACCCGGAACCCTAAACCCTAAAAACAAAACCCTAAACCCTAAACCCTAAACCCTAACCCCTAAACCCTAAACCCTAAACCCCTGGAGCGTTTGGCAGACTTCCGGGAGCGCCTCAGCCTTGCACCCCTAAAGCCCTGCAGCGTCTCTGTAAGGTTTAGGGTTTCGGGTTTAGGGTTTAGGGGTTTAGGGTTTAGGGTTTTTCGGGTCCGCCGACCCTGGCGGCGTGTTGGCTGGGTTTCTGGAGGTGCAAACCTCTTTCCCTCTTTCTGGGAGGGGTAGGGGAGGGGTACCCCGGCAGCTTTTCCGTGGAGGAGCAGGCCACCCACACCGCGTAAACTCATGGACCATAGGCGGTTTCGCACAGGGCATAGGGGTACCCCCCCCCACCCCATTGCGAAGCACCCCCCCGCCCCCACCCCCCCCCCACCCCCCCACCCAGACCCGAACCGCAAACCCAATCCACCAAACCCCAAACCTTAAACTTGTTCTCCTGCGGGGTCGGCGGCTTGAGCCGGAGGCTCTTAATTTAGGGTGTAAGGTTTGAGGTTAAGGGGTATCGTTGCAGGTTAGGGGTTAGGGGTTTAATGCTTGAGGTTTAGGGCTGTAGGTTTGGGGCTTTAAGGTTAGCGTTTGAAGGGTCCAATTTAAGGGTTTAGGGTATAGAATTCTAAATGACAACGATCCATTCCCAACCCCCCCTTCCCCCCCCAAAGCTTCGAAAACCAAATGGCGCCTGCATGTTTTACAAACCCTAACCCACCCGAAACCCTTAACCCTAACCCCTAACCCCTAAATCCTAAACCCTACCGCCTAAAGGGCCTAAAGCCTAAAACCTATATAAACCCTAACCCCTAAACCCTACACCCCAAACCCTAAACCCAAAACCCTAAACCCCCCACCCCTTCTCCCTTCCCCCCCTCCCCCGGATCGCTGCCTCCAGACTCGACGTCCAGAAGCTGCGCATTGGTGAACAGGTTCAGGCGAAAGGCCGGGAACTGCCTTCGAAACTACTATTCTAGACCCGGGAGGAACCTAGGAATAACAAGGGTACCCTTTCTGGTTAAGGGGATCATAAGGGAACCCTAACCGTTAGGCCCTAACCCTAAAAAAAGGAAAAAAGGGCCTACTCCCGGTCCTGGTATTTGCTTATGAACCCCCATACCAAGCAGATGTAGAATCCGAGCAGCCCCTTCTCCACGGCCAGTTGCAAGGCGTCTTTGCCGTCTTTGTTGGTGCCTTGGCATCTGCAGGGAAGGTTTCCAGGGTCTTTTGGGTAAGGATCCTCAGTGACCTGGGTGCTGCCCCCCACACCACCTGGGTTTAGGGTTTAGGGCTTAGGGCTTTAGGGTTTAGGCTTTAGGCTTTAGGGGAGGGGTGGAGGAGCTTCGAGAATTTAGGGACATAGGTCATTGAGAGAGTTCATTGGCCTGGTCCAGACCGGGTGGAGTGTACTTGGGCAATAAAGGGGCTTTCTTTCTTTGAAAGGACATTTTGTGCAATCAAAAGGCTGTTCGGCCCCTGTAATGTTGGATCTGCTTTCGTGGGGGCTTTCTCTTCGAAGTTAATTTCGCAGGACTGTTTGGAGGGGTGCTCGGCGGGGCTGCAATTAAGTCAAATAGTTCGGGTGTCGTAAGAAAATTTTGTGTGGCGCGCCTTCAAAATCAATTGCCGGGCCTTCGTCAAAAAAAACTACCGTCGCTGCAGAATGCGTGTATGATCATGATTGATAATTTGTGGCGAATCGCGAAGAGCATACGATCATGAAGATACATGTGTGAAGAGCAACGTCACCTACGCAACAAAGAGAGCAGGAGGTTCCAGGGCGGCGACAAAAGTATCAATGGCGAAGGATAACCGAAACAACACAGCAATAGCAATTGCAAAATCTGCACAGTCAACACTTTTGACGTGTGACGCCCATGCTACAGCTAGGCAACACCGGCTGGAGGCTTGTAGCACGAATTGAAGGAAGGGCTCAACAGAGTCAGGAGAGTGATGTCTTGACCTAGACCCGGGAGTAACCTAGGAATAAAAAGGGCGTACCATGCTTGGTTTTAAGGGGATTATAAGGGAACCCCAACCCCAAAAAAAGGCAAAAAGGGCCTACTCCCGGTCCTAGTGAACTGTCTTCCAAAAGCAGTCGATGATCACTGACAGCACATACAAATAAACAACGAAGGAGGCGTTCACAGGGTAGGGCTTCCCATTTCGGATATTCACCCTTATACTGTCCTGAATAGGGACTATTGTAATCCCTATAAGGACTGTTAGAATGAGGGGGAACATCCCAAAAGGAGCATTCACAGGGCAGCGTCATGTTGCAATCATGATTCCCATGCAACCAAGTCTGACAAGCAGATGAGGGGTAAATGGGTCGAGTAGACGGCAAAACACCGCTGAAAGTCTGGCAGACCATCATTGACGAATGGTGCCCACGAAATCTAGCACCCAAGATCGACTTGACAATCCTTAGCGGTGGATATACTCTAATTAGCGGACAGCCAGCGGCAAAATTTTAGAGCAGGCAGCATAAAGGTACGCCAGTCACACAAAAAAACAGTCTCCAGCAAACCTTGGAGACTCTATTCATGTGCATGACTGTGAGTCCAGTTCTAGATTTGCGCTGTTTGGAAACATTTGCAGGTTTCTGAACGAGGTGGAAGCAAAGGATCACATGATGGCAGCGAAACTCACGATGTACTGCACGCATGGACGGCTATGTTGAACATAGGCAAGCTGGCTAGCTTATCATTCAGTTTGGAAACAGCAAAAGCTAAGGCAGAAAAGAGCACACGCCTCAAATGTCCCAACGTGGATATATTGATGGGCTGGCACGCTGATCAAGCTGACCTATGATTTGTGAGGTGGAGGTATCCGGGTTGTCGGCCGTTTTGTGCTTTGGTGAGGCCGCGGCGTGGCTTTGCGAGGTTGCTTTCCTGTGATTCTGCGACTTGGTGATTCGACTGCTGGCTGGACAAAAAAAACTTTGCCTAGCAGGGTTTTTTGTGAACCCTAAACCCCAAACCATAAACCCTAAACCCTAAACCCTAAACCCTAAACCTCAACATACGAGAACCCTCCGGACAGCCAGGAGGGGGCATAGGCCACGCCAAGCTCAGCATCCGTCTGGAGCAACGTCTCCTGGATTGGTGACGGCCAGGTGGCACAAGTGATATCCCTAAACCCTAAACCCTAAACCCTGAACCCTTAACCCTAACCCCTAAACCCTTAACCCTAAACCCTAAACCCTAAAACCCTAAACCCTAAACCCTAAACCCTAAACCTTAAACCCTAAACCCCTAAACCCCTAAACCCCTAAACCCTAATTCCCTAAACCCTAAACCACCCTAAAGATTAAACATCTGTCACTAGTGACGCGCCTCCTTACCCCTTCTGGGTGTGCTTAGCTGTCCTGAGATGTTGCAAGGAATTCAGGCTTCATAGCTCCCTTGGTAGCTCAGCAACCGTAGTTTAATAAAGGTGCCCTTCTTTGGGGTCGGTTGCCTTATAAGGGAACCTTGAGCCAAAAGCCGGGTTCAGGGTACCACCGGGCTACCAAACAAATGTAAAACGAAGGGAGACAATCACGGCAATTCTTAGTGGGTGCTACTGGACTGCCAAGGAGTCCCTAAACCCTAAACCCTAAACCCTAAACCCTAAACCCTAAACCCTAAACCCTAAACCCTAAACTCTTTTGCTTTCAAGGACCAGGTTGTCTCGGTTGGGTGTCGGAACTTCGGGCTATGGTTTAGCCGAAAAAAACCCTAGACACCTTAAACCCAAAAGCCCTGAACTCTTAAACCCTAAACCCCCTTAGACCCCTGAAACCCCGAACTCCTAAACCCTAAACCCTAAACCCTAAACCCTAAACCCTAAACCCTTGCCCTAAACCCTAAACCCTAAACCCCTTAAACGCCTTAAACTCTTCCTAAGACAGCTTCGGTCCTCTACTGTGAATCGGTGTGGGGGCCTCGGCGGCAGGGGTTTAGGGTTTAGGGTTTAGGGTTTAGGGTTTAGGGTTTAGGGTTTAGGGCTTCGCGTTTACGGGCCCTTGAGAAATCCACGTTCTCAAGCCCTCAAGCCTACTTCTCCAAACCCCCAACCCTAAACTCTCCACAGGAAGAAGCCCTAAACCCTAAACCCTAACAAGAAAGGATTCATGATGCAAGTTTCGGAGGCTAGTGCTTTCGGCTTCCAGGTTTGGCGTTTACGGCCGCTATGAGCTTAGGGCGGCCGGTGGAGGGTAGGTGAAACCCTAAACCCTAAACCCTAAACCCTAAACCCTAAACCCTCAACCCAATAAACCCTAAACCCTAAACCCTAAACCCTAAACTTAGGGTTTGGGGTTTAGGGTAGTCCTGGGTTCGTCAGGGTTTGAGGGGTCCGGGCTTCGGAGGGTTTAGGGTTGAGATCTTGGTGTTGGCCTAAACCCTAAACCCTAAACCCTAAACCCTAAACCCTAAACCCTAAACCCTAAACCCTAAACCCTAAACCCTAAACCCTAAACCCCTGGGCCTCCAAGGATTCGGTGCTTTTTTCGGGCCATCTGGTCAGTTGGCCGTGGTAGTTGACGGAGAGGTTTATGTTAAGGCCTGGGTTGTATCCTGTGGCGAAACGGTCGGGGGTTTAGGTGTTTAGGGTTGAGGGATGTTGAGGGTGTAGACGCCTATGTTGATTTGAAAATAGGCTTTCTCGGGTAGGTTGAGAGTATGACTCTTGGATTCCAAGGGGGTGTCACATGGGTAATGAGTTAGGCTTCTCAACCCTAAACCCTAAACCCTAAACCCTAAACCCTAAACCCTTAGAGTTAGGCTCCTGTAAAAGGCGGTCTTGGATTGGAGGAAGTCCCTTCCACGACCCTCCCCCTCCTATAAAATCAAACCCGAAGTTCAGGAAGGGTTTAGGGTTTAGGGTTTTAGGGTTTAGGATTTTTGGGTTTAGGGTTTTAGGGTTTAGGGTTTCGGCTTTGGGGTTTATTGTTTAGGGTTTAGTTTAGAGTTTAGGGTTTAGGGTTGAGGGTTTAGGGTTCAGGAATGTTAGCATGAGGGGAGCACATCCCAAGGTATAAGTTTTGAGGATTAGGAACCCAAAGCGGTTTAGGTTTAGGGTTTTAGGGTTTAGGGCTTAGGGTTTGTGATAAGTCATAAGTACCCTTAGAGAAGCCCTGATTTGGGTTGTCCCTTTTCGTCACCCAAAGCCTGAACCCTACCTGGACCCCCAAACTATGTTTTTTCACAAAGACAGTCCTAAACCCAGGACCACTATTTTACATTACTTGGGGGTTTTGGTTACCCTACACCATCCTACACCCTATTAACCCTGTTACTGTAAGCCGTTAAATCCTAAACCCCTATCCCTACCACGGACTCTTCGTATAAGGGGGAACATACCAACCCTAAACCCTAAACCTTAAACCCTAAACCCGATAAACCCTATAAACCCTGAACCCTATAAGCCCTCATGATCACTGTGTGGGGTTTGAGAGAAGGTGGAGGGGGTGGAGTTGAGGATTTGGTTGAGTCTGCCAGGCCCTTGAACCTTACACCCTAAACCCTAAACCCTAAACCCTAAACCCTAAACCCTAAACCCTAAACCCTAAACCCTAAACCTCAGCGGGGTTGCGGGGTCTCGGGCAACGCGCGCGCGCGCGCGCGCGCGGCTTAGCCTTGAAGGGTTTAGGGTTTCGGCCTTTTTAACCGCGAGGCCGAGCATCTATCTGTCCAGCTGCAGCCTCAAAAGACATGACCCTAAACCCTAAACCCTAGACCCTAAACCCCAACCCTAGACCCTAAACCCGAAACCCTAAACCCTAAAGGCCCTAAACCCTAACGCCCAACCCGAAGCCCCTGAAGAACAGCAACGGCCTCATCAATCCTGCTCTGTAGTTCGAGGTCGGACGCAAGCAGGCTTAGCAGTTCGTGGTTGTCTAACTCGAGCAGCATTCCAGTAATTTTGCCGGCCACGGTCGGCTGAGCCTGGAAGACTTTAGGGAACAATCGTTCGCCAATCAATTGCTTCTGCCGAGGGGGGCTTGCTGAATCCAGCTCGTTTGCTAACATTGCGATGGGGTCCAGGAAAACAAGCGCAAGTGGGCCACTCGTCGGTGAGACGTATCTTCCAATGGCCTGATCTCCTGGCAAGACCTGCCCCTCACTTGCTAAGGAGTAGTCGTTATTCTGAATGTCCAGTTCTGAAGTCAACATGGCCTTCGTTTCTGCGACCGTCGTCCAGGGAGACACTGAGACGGAGCATTCACGTCCACTGAGCAAGCAAGCGCGAACACGCAGCTGTCCCTGCATCGCACAATCGTATACCTTTGTCAGATCTGACGTCGCCATGGACTTTCCCGCAGCCCGCAAAGCCGTGTCGACGTCTTCTAGAACTTGTCGCCCCAGACCCGCAGAGGCCAGATGCTGCAGCAGCATTGAATTGAGGTCTGCCATTGCCAAGAAAAAGAGAGAAAACCCTAAACCCTAAACCCTAAACCCTAAACCCTAAACCCTAAAAGAGGGCTTTCCCCCGTCTCTACACGTGAAGCTCCACACGGAGGGCTCCGAGCCGAAAGTCGGTCACCTAGAGTCGGCTAACAAAAAGCTGCTCTTTGTTCCCCACCAAACTCTTGGGGTTTAGGGTTTAGGGTTTGGGGTTTAGGGTTTAGGGTTTAGGCTTTAGGGTTTAGGGTTTAGGGTTTAGGGTTTAGGGGTAGTTTCATGGTCCCTTAGCTCGAACGCCATACTCCGCACTAGTTCTAAGAAGGGGACCGGGAACTGCCGTCTATCGCCTACATAAAATTCGAAGGGGCTATGTAGGGCACCTACTGCCCGAAGTCCCTACTAAGAACCAGAACGCTTGTCTCGGATACCTTCAATCTGGGACACACACTTTGCACTCTTGAGCATCCTATAGATTAAGTCACTTTAGGCTCTATAGGGCTTAGGCCATATAGGGTTTTTAACTAGAAACAAGTTTGTTAACTTAAAATCATCAGGAGGCACATAAAACACAATGCTGTGTGTAATTCATTTGGAGCTTAGGGTTTCGGGCCTAGGTTTTAGGCTTGGCGTGTAGGGTGCTCCTTCAAACCGAAGCACAAAAAAGCGAGTCGCGTGGATCCCAGGGACAAATCGCACACCCTAAGCCCTAAACCCTAAACCCTAAACCCTGAACCCTAAACCCTAAACCCTAAACCCAGCAAGACGAGCAGCTGTGGCTCTGCAGATTCCCACGTGAACTTGGCCCATGTCCTCTTTCAGAAGCCCTAAGCCATGGACCCTAAGCCTAAACCCTTTAGGGTTTAGGGTTTAGGGTTTAGGGTTTAGGGTTTAGGGTTTAGGGCTTAGGGCTATGGCCGCATAAGCCATAAAGCCATCAACCTGAAACCCACGCACCCTAAACCTTACAAGCCCTAAACCCTAACCTGCACCATTGTTGGGGTACTACTACAACAAGTCATTCTTTGCTCCTTGCTGGGTTCAAGTGCTCATATACATGTAAAATGATCTTCAACGATGACCCAGCAACTGTTGACCGAACCCTAAACCCTAACCCTAAACCCTAAACCCTAAACCCTAAACCCTAAACCCAAACCCCAAACCCAAACCCTAAACCCCAAACCCCAAACCCTAAGCGTGCTTCCAGGACACTTGGATCAAGAGACTTCACCTGGGACACCCTTGGGTTGTACCCTGGGACTCGACTTTGTAGTTCAAAGCCCCCCCCCCCCCCCCCCCCCCCCCTGCAAGGGTTTAGGGTTTAGGGTTTAGGGTTTAGGGTTTAGGGTTTAGGGTGTAGGGTTGCTAGTGACGAAACCCCTTGAGGTAACAAATAACCTTCTTGCGGAGCTTCTTGACCCTTTACTCCCTGAAAGTGTTTGGGGTCTATAGGGTTTAGGGCTTAGAACTTAGGGTTTAGAGTTTAGGGTTTAGGGGAACAGAAAGGCAATATTTGAAGTCCTTCGAGGGTATTTTGGCGTTAGGGTTTCCTTTTCTTGAAAACCAGAACAGGAATAGTAGGGCCATATAGGGCTTCATAGCCTGTAGGATGCTTTAGAGCTTTCGCCTTCTACCAGCAACATCTGGGTGAGGGGCTATAGGGCTGATGGCGCGACGACGAAACCCCAAAGCCTTGAACCCCACGCCTGTCCTCCTCCCATCGCCGTAGCTGTGGCCGTGGTGGCAGGAGGTGATCGGCGATGGGTGATTTTGAGTTTAGGTCTGAGGGCTGTTTAAGGTGTTCTGCATTTGCCCCGGAATTCCGACATCTGGGTCGGGGGGTTGTGGAATTGCCTACTTGCTTGTTTCGCTGCCTTGTTTGTCAAGTACGGCCGAGCAATGCGAAAAGAAATTCTACAATGAAACTCCCGCCCAAAAAAAACTGCGTTGTCATTCGCATTGGTTTAAACAGGGTCGGGTGAGGGTTTCAGGCTTTAAGGGCTTTCTTGGAGGTTCATGGGTACTTATAACCACAATTATACGTCTACTTATAGCCTACTTGGAGGACTTAGGAGACTTCGAGGGGCTTATAAGTACAGCTTGGGGTTTTAAGTACCCTGAGCCTCCTCGGTCAGGTTGTCCCGCAGCAGGTGGTGGTGGGGCTTCGGACGCTTGAAAGGCTGGAAATGCTGATTTCGGCCCTATCTGGGTGAGATAGGGCTGGAAACCCGAACTGGATAGGTCCAACCAACACGAAACCGGCCACTCCACGTCGTAGTCCACGATATTGTACTCAAAATCTCACACTTTGTGTTTTTCTTGAAGGGGCTCCGATTTTGGGCATTGAGGGGAGCCCTCGAGCTGAATTAGAAATCTCTTCCAGACCCTTGCCAGTCTTCCAACTTTCTTATTTCGACTAGCCGGTTAAGAAAATATCTGAGACTCTAAACAGTTCTCGCGGTTTTCTTAACATAAAGTTCGACCGTAGCCTGTGGTTCAGATTTTTGCCCAGCCAGCAGTCAGTCTTCGAATCTTGGGTTCGAACACGCGTCTGAATCTGAGAGTTAGTTTTTGAACGCCTGATGGACATTAGGTTCAACGCGGCACCCTAAACCCTCCCTCAACCCTAAATCCTAAACTCTAAACCCTAAGTCCTATAAACCCAAAACCCTAAACCCTAAACCATGAACTCTTAGGGTTGTGCCCTTCGGTTTTGAGGGGTGAACCTTTTTCAAGATAGTATAAAGGCCATATGAAGCAGGGTTTATGTTCCTTGTATCCCCAAAAGGACGCTCAATACATACACTCGCCCATATTGAAAAGGAACCTTATATGCACTCACCAAGAACGGCAATATAAGCCCTAAACCCTACACCCTGAACCTTAAACCCTAAAACCCTAAACCCTAAACCTTAAACCCTAAACCCTAAACCCTAAACCCTGATTCATAACAGGGGTGTGTTAAGGGAAGCCTCCATAGGAGTGAAACCTCAGGGGTACGAGTCTTAATCCCATGAACCCTGAAGTGATCGGCTCGGTTGAAAGTCGGGCCTCATCTAACATCCTCAGATGAGATACACCCTGAACCCTAGACCCTAGACCATAGACCCTAGACCCTAAACCCTAAACCCTATCGGGGTTGCGCTTAACCCGAAAACTCGACAGTCAAACGAAAAATCGTCCCTTCCAGGGGTTCCTTGGAGCAGATCTGGTGGTATGGCTTGGGACCTAGCTCAATTTGGGTTTAGGGCCTTAGGGTTTAGGGTTTAGGGTTTGGGGTTTGGGGTTTGGAGTTTGGGGTTTCGGGTATAGGGGTCAAGAATGACCAACAAATTCCGGGGTGCAGCTATTGCAACAGTAAAAGGCGGCATCTTCCCTCACCTCGGGTTTAGGGTTTAGGGCGAGACCCGAAACCCCACAGCCTCAAAAGTCAGACGCGGCAGCAAGGCAGCCGAGAGGCTAGTAACGAGGAGCTTATTCTCGTGCTTTGCACCGTCCAGGTGTTTGCAGGTTCCATCCTTCATGTCTAGGGTTTAGGGTTTAGGGTTTAGGGTTTAGGGTTTAGGGTTGCAGCCCGAAACCCTAGATCCTAACACTCACAAAGATCCCAATCCCCAAGCCCTGCATCCTTGAACCCTGAACCCTACCTGGAGCCCTGAACATCCTCATGTGGGAGGGTGGGGTCGGGGAGTTGGGTTTATGGTTTAGGGCTTAGGGTTGAGGGTTTAGGGCTTAGGGTGTATGGGGCTTAGGGGTTCAGATTGCTAAAGACGATGGTCCTGACAAAGAAAGGGCGGAGGTGTTTACCCTAAACCCTAAACTCTATGACCCTAAACCCTAAACCCCAAACCCTAAAAAACAAATGTCCAGTAACCGTCTGAGAAGGCATCTTGTTTGTAACCAGCTGCGGTTTGCTGTGTACAAAGGTGCATCAAACCATAAACCCCAAAACCTGAAGCCTCAAAAAGCCTTTTCCGGGCCATCCCCCCCCAAAAGAAAAAAACACAAAAACACCCCAAAAAGGAAAACCCCAAACCCTAAACCCCAAACCCTAAACCCCAAACCCTGAACCCCAAACCCCAAACCCTAAACCCCAAACCCTAAACCCTAAACCCCAAACCCTGAACCCTAAACCCTACACCCTAAACCCACCTTCATCTTCTGGAACATGGTGCGCTCATACAGCAAGAACTCGACCATGTTATCCTCACTGGCTCGGAACTTGTTTAGGGTTTAGGGTTTAGGGTTTAGGGTTCAGGGGCCCCTCCGGCCAGCACCCCTTAAGGAGTAACAACACAACCCTCAAGATGATTGGGACTCTGCTGGAGATTTCTTAGTTAAGCTCGTCCTGGGTGAGGAAATCATAGGGCTCTTGAGGGTGGTCGTTTAGGGTTTAGGGTTTAGGGTTTGAGGTTTAGGCTTTAGGGCTCAGGATGGTTTATTTCTTACGGACTCATAACCCCCTGTTGTGTTCTGGGATTCTCGAGGACGGGAAGGTGAGGAGGAGCTTGGGGAACCTTCAGTTGAACCTTCTCGGGAAACTTGAAGGTTCCCTTTTGGGGAACCGAAGAGTTTGTTTTTTTCTGGACAACTTAGGGAGCCTTGAGCCCTCTACGCCTCTAAGCCCTAAAGCCCGGGACGCGGTCTTTCTCTGCATGCTGGGGGCGGTGAGGGGGGTGAATGCGTTGTATAGTATAAGCAACATGTTTAAGCACTTAGTTCAAGTTCCGTGAACTATAGTCAACGTCGTGGGTAGGACCCACAGAAAGGAGCGACTATAACCTTCATGAGTAGGTCGTGGGGTTGCCGAGTAATCTATAAGAATCCAAAGGATGTCCTTTCATGAACTTACAAAAGGCCGCGCGGCCCAAAACCATTTCAAAAAAAGTACCCCTAAACCCCAAACCCCAAACCCTAACCCTAAACCCAAAACCCAAAACCCCAAAAAGGCCCTTAAAAACGCGTGCGCGCCCCTCTCAGGGGGCCCCGGCGTGGCCAAGCATGGCTGCCAG